TAGATGGTTAGAAATGCATTTATAGCTAGAGGCTGACTTTATCCAGGCCGTTTATATAATTTGCTATTGTGTCAACAAAAGCCTTTTGTATGAGTAGCTCTCTGCCTGTTGTATGCCTTCTGTGTAAATTGGACAGTTTTCCTTCTCTTGTTTGTGTAGCCCAGTGAAACAGTCCAGTGTCTCATGATGGACCCGTACTTCCCCATACATAGCAGCTATTCTGTATATGAGTTTGAGTGTTCACTTGTGTTGAGCACAAATGCCAAAACTTACAGGTAATTCTGAATAGGATGTCATACTCTCTTGTACAATTATCTATAGAAAGAGGGAAGTAACTCATCTTTTACGTTCTGAGTGTACATTCCTCTCCCTCACATCTGCAATAAGTTGGTAGTTTATAGTAATTCTTGATGCGGTATTACATTTCTGATACATTCTTTCTTTCCACCTTGAGTCACTTTGTGTCTATGAGTACTCTGTGCTTTATATCTCATTAGCATTTTACGTGCATGATCTTACATTTCATACTCAAACTTCATTACTTTAAGTAGTATGTTCAGCTTCGTTCTTTGCAGATAAGTGTACTCCTAATTCAAAAAAAAAATTCAGATTCTTTTCAGTGATACATCACAACTTTGTATTCATTATGTCTCTCTGCTTTTGTTTGTGAAATGTGTTGGTGATATGCTTCCTCTTGTGCCACTTAGAAAAATAGTAAAGCCTGTTTCACGTGTGATCTGACACTAGACTTTAGCTAGTCACCTCTTTATCTCGGAAAGGTAAAATCAATCTTTTTGCTGACCCCTCTTTTTCTTGCTTCTTGTAGCTGGAGGTCAGCACAGGGTACATATACACATACAGCTTTATCTGAGGTACTGGATAAAGCTGTATATGCTGCTGTAAGATCATGTTAATTGCAAAAAAGTGAGGAGTTTGTCAGCCATTTGGCTTTCTTAAGAAGGGTTATTCTTCTGTCTTCTCTTGCTCTAGGGATGCAGCACACAGAGTCCACCCACTTGCAGGACAAGGTGTAAACCTGGGTTTTGGTGATATTGCATGTTTAGCTCATCACCTCAGTGCAGCAGCCTTCAACGGGCAAGATCTGGGTAAGGATCCAAGACAATGAGGTGGCTGTGAGATGTGTAGCCTTACAAACCTCTGCTGCTGCCATCAGGACAAGCACCATCTCTGTTTGCAGGTTAAGCTTGCTGCTTTTTTTGCTTAAAAGACACAAGCACGTTTGAAGCAAAACTCTTCTTCTATTCACTGGCTGCAGAGGAATTAACAATACTTGGATGCCATTCACATTCTCAAAACCTAAAAAAAAAAATGCTTTAAAAAAGCAAAAAGAAGATGTGCAGGATGGTAGTTAAAGGTAGTGAGACACTAACACTAGCTGATGGACTCAAGCTTATATTAAGATGGACCATTTATCTGTTCTGTATTTTCAGTTATCTGTGGAGACTGCTATACAGATAAGATGCACAATTGTTTGTGGTCACTTTTAATGTGAGTATTCAATTATTTCTTCCAGGATCCTTAAAACATCTCTTAAGGTTTGAGACAGAACGTCAGAGGCACAATGTCTCCTTGATAGCTGCTATTGATTTACTGAAGAGGCTTTACTCCACAAGCCTTTCTCCCTTGGTGTTGCTGAGGACATGGGGATTGCAAGCAACAAATGCCCTGCCTCCCATCAAAGTAAGATTCTTCCTTTGTACATGAGCCATTGAAGAAATTTTGCAATTTTAGCATTTTTGGTTGGAAAATGCTAAGTTGTTCAAAATGAGGTTTTGTGTTGTGAATGAGCCTGAGGGTTTCCTAAATAACTGTGATGGCTATGATTTCTTCGCAGCACAGGGGAACATGAAGGATCTTGATATCTATACGTCAGTAATTGTGGGTCAAAAGTCACTAGTAGTCTTTGGCTTTATTTTGCTATGGAACGCGAACGTGGAACTTTGAATTGCATTCCAGAAATGCACTGTGAAAAAAATAGCCCTCTGAAAACAAACCTTCCTTAAGAGTAGGATACCAGGTGACTCGACAGATGTGGGGTGCGACTTATACAGATACTGTTTCTGTGCTGTTCTGCTCTGTTAAATTGTTCTCTCCAGGCTGAAGTTGAAGTCTTCAATGGAAGTCACCTGAGAAGGTTCAGACTTAAACACAGAACTTCTGTTTTCAGCCTAACTGCCAGAAATTTGTACAGCATTGACGTAGTTGGTGGATTTTCATGATGTTCACTGAGGCACCTTCTCTCAAAGGTTCCACAATGCCTTCAAATTAGATTTCTCATTTCTGAATTTGGCAGTTCTGTTGCACAAATCAAGTCACCTCCTTACTATTAAAACACAGATTCCTGTGCATTACATTACGGAAGACACAGATGGCCAGATTCCTGTGCATTACATTATGGAAAACACTAGGCTGAATTGATGTCTCTAGTTGTACTAAGAAGAGCAGTATGCTGCTGCTTCACTGCTTGGTGTTTATTCAGTTTCTCTGTTGAAAGCAGAAAGCTGAGCAAAGGCCTCTTTTCTGACCACAGAACGTGTTGGTTCTGTCCGTTTGTGCTGTTCAAGAAGGAAAAGAATGCTGCAATTTCTTTAATTTCCTTGCATGCAGGGATGGGTACTCTGCACTTAATTAAAAGGCTGACAGGAACTCTTGTCCACATGGAAAGGGGAAGGAGATTATGGCTACTTTCTGAAATGTGCACTTACCAGTTTACAAATTACTTTTCTTTCTTTCTCCCTTTTTTAGGAGCAAATCATGGCTTTTGCCAGTAAGTGATCCGTTCTCAGTTTGGATCAGCAGTTTGCCAGTGTGTGCATTATTTGTATAAGGACTGTTGCTGATACAATTTTTGAATTGTGTTATTTTAATTTAACAATAAAACTGAAGTATTGAGCTGTGTCTTACACCTTCTCTGGTTTATGCAGATGATATCTCATCTGCTCTTCTCAGCAAGGTTTGAGGTCTCTTCCTGTGGTATCATTATCCCTTCGGCCACTGAACTGTCTGTACAGTCTGCTTTTAGTTTGAACCTTTTAAATTGAAGACTGAAGTGGACTGGGCTGAATTTTGCTAGCGACAAATTTTGTTGTTTAATTACTTTCAGTTTTTCATGGTGTGATTCTGAAACTGTTATGTCAATTCTGTGTTCTTAACCACTTCCTGGACTCCGGAAGGAGGGCAAGTTTTCAGCAGAAGAGACCAACTCCCAGTGGCAGATAGGTATGCTTTAATGTTCTAATCTCTCTCCTTCACCTTTTTCTTTGGCATTCTCATGATGGTTTTATTTAATAGCGATGTTTCTTGTGGAATTGGTCAGTCTTAAGAGGTTTCCAATACCATGAAAACAAGATGCAAGATAACATCAAGGAAAGAAAACTTCAGGACAAAGTTGTAAATATTGTTAAAAATGCTTTAATTACTAAAATAGAAAATCAAAGTATTCTGTCTTATGTTCCAAATGCCAGCCCTCCTGCATTAGACATTTGAGATTCACAACATTGAGTGAGCACTGCTACTGGGTGAGATTTGTAGATACGGTAACCAGTATCAGGAATTAAAATCACAAATAATTAAACATAAGTTTTGTACTGAAAGCCATCACTCGTGCTTCCTCAGTCACACATACTAAGCAGTTTCTGGTAGTCAGGATAAGAGACTTAACAAAGGAGAAGATAAAAATCAGCGGTGCAAGTAGAACTCTTCCCTTAAAAGGCTGCTTAGTTTTTAGTTAAGCTAATAAATAAAATCATTGCACTAGAGTGCGAGGACATGACTGGCTTCCCTATATCCTCAATCCACTTTAGTAATTCAGATGTAAACAGTAAGAGCTCAATTCTGCAATTTCTTCTAAAAGAAACCTTTGAGCTTAGTTTTTGTTTCTCTTGTGAGTGCAGGATCAGACCCCTGGTAGAGAGCAGCAGGTGAGTTTCAGCTAATGAATTGTGCCACTGACAAATGAAGGCCCTGAGCATTCAGATTTAATGCAACTTTGGTACAGGATAATGGATGCTCCCACCTAGGATTTGTAGTACCAGAGTTTGAGGCAAAGAAAAGAAACTTTCTCCACATAGTATGTCTTCTAGATTTCCTCCCTCAGGACAAAACCAAACCCTCAGTTACTTGTCAGAGCTAGGCTTTATTCACTTGGCAGATAACTTCTGCTTGTGCCTTAAAAATAATACCCCCCTTGCTTTTGTGTTTCAAGTACAGCCTCACTGCTTGTGGCTCTTGGCCTCGGGATCTGCTAAGAGAGTTTATCATAGCACTGGCTCAGACTGGAAGCCTTTGATTCATTACATTAGCTACTTCTCAGGAGTAACATGCTTGGCTATTAATCACTGCAACCTTCTTTGTGTTCTCCAAAGAATACAAAGGTGAAGAAAATTGGTCATTCAGAAGATGAATATGCTTTTTGTCACCTTGTTGTTGAAACCATGCATGCAGACCATGCACTAAGTTTTGCCAAATGGTAAGCAGGGGAATAAGAAAGGTTCCTCATAAAGAAAAGGCTGGATTCCATGGCTACTTTCTTCCTGCTCAAACAAATTGTTGTAGTGACAGAGGAACAGAAGTTTGCTGTGGTGCTGATGCATTTCCTAACGTGCATCTCTCTAACTGATTCTGGTAAGGAGCACAAGTAGGGTGCTCACTTCATATTCCAAAGAAACAGTCTGAGTTTACAGCAAGGTGTCAAAAGTGGGACAGTTATAGGCTGCTTCCACCCTGCTCCTTGGACTCCTGGTGCTGACCAATGCTTTGCATCCCATCACCATAAAACCTGAGGCAGGGAAATGGGATAACTTCATCAGCCATTGCCAGACTTGTGCTGCTAATTAGAGGAAAATGACCAGTGTTCATAGTAAGGCAAATTCCTAGGACTCCAACCTACTTGCTGAGATTAGTTAGGATTTGAGTGCACTATTTCTTCCTCATGCTGGGCATTAACAATTATTTTCAAATCCATTTTCCGGAGAAGGTAGTGTGAGACCAATCTTGGGTTTTACCAAAGTGAAAAAGATGTGGTCTAATATACATGTAAGTGCAAATGCCTGAAAAGAACAAAGTGTTTGTCATAAGGCAGGGGTAAATGAAACCTCTGTTCCTAAGCCTGTGCTAAGTTCATCTTTAAGTTCCATATTCCATATTGAACAGAATGTAGTCAAGGCAATGTGAACTATTACATCAGACATTTCGTCTGATCCCATCCTTAATTTCCTTGTGGTGTAATGTGACGAGCATTTCTTCTGGCAGTGGAGTTTCAGTATCTGGCACATGTACATATCTTGCTGCCTAGTTTTGTGCCTGCACAACTGTGTGTTACAAGTGTAGATGCTAAAATGAATCAAGGCCTGACATCCAGATGTGCAGCCATACAGTACAAACTTATAAAGGGCAGCACAAAGGTAGTCATGCAGTCTGTCAGCACAGATGTTGCTGAAGAAACTACTGCTGAAAGAAATGCTTGGTGTGGTACAGCCTATGTTTCAGCCAATACCTTTCCTAAAATTATACCCGAAGAGTGCTTATAGAAAGGCTGATGTCATCTTGTAATATATTAGCTAACAGTTGGGTACTTGAACACTGAGGCTGGGAGCATCCAGGGTTATTGTTTAATTTTCTCTGAATGGCTGTTGGTGTCATGTATAATTTCTGTATTTAATGTCTTGCAAGCAAACTTCAGTACTGTATGCTTAAAGTAATGGGGGAGGAGAAATACCATCTGTAATTTACCACCACGTCCCAAATATGCTGTGCTTTTAGCAATGGGATGCTATACAAATGTGCTGGTGAAAGCTGGCTTTGAGTCTCTTGCAGATACACTGCAGGAGTTTAGGCCTTTTGACTTTCAGAAGGCAGCTTCTGGATTATTTGTGACAATCACAATTATATTGTGTCAACTTTCATTATGTGCAATGCCAATCCCAGGCGAGGATCTGTTTTATAGCTTTGGTCCATTTTCCACTCTGTGATTGACTCCAGTTGGATAACATACCTGGTGATTTCAGTTTGCTTTCTCAAACTTTCAGAAATGCTGAAATCCATAGGAATGTCACAGTTCAATATGTTATCCCCAGAGACTGCAATAAGTGAAAGGTAGCACCCAAAGTCCAGCTTGTCTCTATGTTGTTCACTTTTTTTGTTAACTATAAAAGGAAAAAAAGCAATTGTTACCAACAGTGTTCCCGATATGTTGAGAGTTGCACATGACAGCAACTACACATAGCAACCCTGGAAAGATTTAGTAGCTAGTTAGCCAGAAAAATGAACCACTGCATGTTGTTTGATAGAGAAATTGGAAAGCTGGTTTTAGGATTGAACCTCTCACCTGTAAGAGTGTGTTGTCTCTAAATCCAAAACCTTCCTTTAATAAAGCAGTGATGTAAGTGAGATCCATGCAGAGGAAAGGACTGGCTGAGCTGAACCTCTCCATGTTATCACAGACTAGAGAAAGAAAAAATAATTTTTTAAAAAATCAGCAAAATAAAGGGGCTTCTGAAATGACCTTAAGCCAAAATCCACTAAAACACATCACCTACTTCTGTATGACACATGGTACATACTACACAGCTGTTCTATAAAGTTAGAGAGTAAATGATACAGTAATTACAGTTTCTCTTAACTCCATCAGAAGTGTATGTTTTGTTACAGCAACATAGTTCATATTGCTCTTTTGAAGATTGAACCTGTGCTCAATCAATAGCTGACAGGGTAATTGCCTGGTAGACTGCTTATTTAAAGAATGTGGCAACATTTATCTTCCTTAATCTGTCCAAAAATGGCTCTAGTAACAGATTCCACCTTCTGGGCTGACAGCTGCTTTTAATTTTAAATTTTCAACCATATGCCCAAGAGACTATAGCCAAACAACCACTCACGCTGCAGCAAAGATTCCACAACAAGGGTTACAGTGACTAGGAAGTGCATTTACAACAAGCATCATCTTTTAGATGGAAATGTACTGTTTTGTGCTGACATTTATAAGCTGTTTCCCTTATTTCCTGAACAGAACTGCAAAGATGCTACCACTTTCCCTCTTGTTACTGTTCTTCAATACTTTATTCAGCAACAGTTAGAGGTATGGCGTAACAGAAGGTAAGTAGCAAGACATGGAAGTGTAAGTGAAATAAAGGCTGAACAGTCATTTTTTTCAAGTCAAATACATGAAGTACTGCCTTGTAAACATTCATCTTTAATGATTTATCCTCCCCAACAGTTTCCCATGTTTGATGATAGTTACCTTCTTTGGCTTTTCTTTCAAAATCTCTCACTTCCAGAACTCCTCCCTGTTCATAATCTGAAAAGAAAGAGGTGAGACAATATCTTCGTAAACCTGCAAGCAGTTGAGTTCTAAATCTAAGCAGACTCTGGGGTACAACTCTGTGATGATGGGCCAGGAGTGAAGTCCTTGGTAACAACGAACAGAGCAGCAAGCATAAGTAGCATTCAGAGCACTAGTCTCTTCTGTCAAATTCCAAATACCAAAAATGAGGGTTACAGGAAGGCATTTTGTGTGTTTCCTTTTCCTTAGACATCTTGCGCCATTTCCCTGCTTCACCTGTCTCCATCTTCAGGGTTCTGCCTTCTGGTTGGCATGCTCACATGTAGTAGATTACCCCAGACCAGTTTTACCTATTAGGTTGGTGTCAGCTGCTCGATCATAGTAATAGGAGAAAGCATAGAAGGAACTTCCACGAATCTCATCTGGTTGGTGCAGTTTTCCTTTGACAACCTTCAGTACTTCCAGATAGCAAGGTTTGAATCCTGTCTCTCCTGCCAGGACAAAGACAGATAAGATGAGCCTAAGAGGCACATCCAGGAGATGGAGGAATTGGTGGCAAGAGTGAAAAGGGGAAGAAGCAGAGATTAAAGAATCAGGGGAGTTGAGAAGAGCTTAGATAGACTCTCCATAATCCAGTGTGGTACCTGCATGGAGCAAGCACTCTAGATCACCATCCTCAAGTGGAACTTGCTAAAGCAGTTCACAGCAGTATCTGATAGGCAAGCTGAGCATACTAGGGTAGGTGCATGAAATGCTTCCTCTTTAGGCAAAGCTCCCATTGCTGTGTTCTGTGGTCAGCAGAATCTCATTTGTTTGCTACCACCTGCAAGGTAAAACTTTACTTTCCTTCCCCTTCGCATTGTAGTTTACAAGTCACACACACTCAATCAAGCACAGCAATCTTGTTTCCTACTGTAAAGCAAAGCAGTGTCAGTCACCAAAGGGGGCTGTTCTAGTCACTGCTGGTAGCAGCTTCTTGCTTTGCTTGCAGCATTAGAGACAGTATTCTTAAGAAAGAGTTCCACAAGAGGATACTCTTCAGTCTACCAGTTGTTGTACCCTAACACAGCCAGAGCACTCAGCTCCAAGCCTCAGAAAGAACTCTCCTGTTTGTATGAGTAACTAACATTTCCTATTAAGGCAGTGTATAGCAAGCACAGGCCAGCTACTCTTATGGCTTCAGATCATTCTTTGGCTCTATCAAAGCTCCATAGGTCTATGATTGGAGAGGTATCCTTCACACTGTAAGATAACTGACAGAGTATTTGTCAAGAAAAAACGCAGATGCTGGAGGCAAGACTTGTCTTACAAGAAGCAAAAAGTTGCTTTATTTTACCTTCTTTGTTGCCCCCATACCGGTACTTCACTCCCCCAAAGTGCCACTCTGCTTCCAGTTGCTTTGGCAAGCAAGAGCTGCGGAACATTTGTCCATCTGCAACTGGAAATGAGAGGGTCAGGAAGGATAAATTTTAATGCAGTTATCAGTGTGCAAAGCCAGAAAAGAAAAGGCTGAAAGACCTTCATTAAGGTCTTCAGGCAAAAGTAAGGAAGTCTGAACTGTGCAACCTACTCGGGTAACCTTATGCTGTTTTGCATTTATGTGAAAGCTGGTAAAGCTGTATATTGATGGCTGGCTATGTATTTAGTGTGTGCATTTCTGGAATTTACCCTCAGTCTCACTGCTAGTTGAAACTGGAAAAGCAGCTTTCTCACATGACATTCCTAAAAAAAAAGCAGTAGGCTCAGTTTCTGGACAGATCTATACCAGGAAAAGTGTGAAATATAGCAGTGAAGGCATATGAAATGGGTTGCTGATGCAAGACTAAGCCTACTTATCTCTTCAGAAATCTTCTTATCTGGACATACCTTCTGTATCCAAAGCTCCAAGAGTTGCTAGTCTGGCAGCTTTTAATCCAAAACCCAAATAGCTGCAAAAACAAAAGAAAACATTTCAGTTTTTAATTCTTGCACTTTTGATATGTTTCATCCATAACTCTTCCTAAATCCTGGAACACTCAAATCAAACCTTTTCTTTGTTTCCCACTATTCTATGCAAAGGAAATAGAGAGTTCTCTTTGCCTGAACAGCTCCAAGTCCCAAAATTACAGATGCCAAGGCACATTATGCTGTAAGATGGGTAAATCTTAAACTGCAGAAAGTGGTTAGAGTTGGTGTGACATTTCTACAGGACATTATTTGAAATGTAAAAATGCATTAGTCTTAAAAACCAGGGATAAATAAAGTTATGTGAGGAGTGCAGGGGAATAGTATGGCCATTCCTACATTATATGCATAAGACTCTTAACAGGTGCTCTTAACAGAACTAACAAAACTGCAGTGTCCCACTATAATGAGGATGTGTCTTCCTATGAAGTTGGCCTCTGTTTGACTTCACATAATACCACTATACTGCAAGCTAGGGTTGTGAACAACACTTATGAGAATATCATTACGTGTTACTGGCTTTAACAACGCAGCTAGATTAAATCCCTGCTGGCCTTTCATTTCCATTTCTCTTTGACTTGACCTATCCTTTTAGTAATGTTAATGCAAGTTTTTACGTAATAACCAGGGTTAAATTAATCTTCCCCATTAAATTAGTCTTCCCCATTTTTATGAGATTATTTTAAATCCCAATTATTGCAAGCGATAGAATTTGTTGGTAAATACAGCAATCGGTTACTTTCATAAATTCAAGTAGTGTGAGAGGAGGACTGTTAAACCAGCTTTGCTGTCAAGTAAACATTTTCTGCAGTTAACTGAAATGGTATTCTTTGCCCCAGTAGCTGTGTGCTGAGACAAACTCTATCATGCATGGTTGAGTTCTATATAGATAATGAAGGGGAACTGGGTATCACTGCAGACATCTCAGATACCTGTTTGCTTAATTCAGTAAGCACAGTTATAATCTGTCAAGCTGGCTCAAGAGTCTGTGCTCCATGTTGTGTATTAGCTGTCTCATTGGTTTACATCAGTCTAAGTTTTACTTTTTATCCAGTCACTAAAGAGATGGGCTATTTGGAATTGAGAACTAAGAATTTAATTAATTTAATTTAATTCTGACTGCTGGCACAACATCTACTATTCTGTTTGTTCCAGAATATTTGGCTTGAACCAAGTAATAAAAATTCTTAAACAGAGTACTCATAACGCTTCCTTTCCTTTGAGGGACTATTAGTACTTTGCAGTGATAATAACCTGGAGTATTTCCAGCCTACTGTCATGTTTCAGTTCAACTAATGTTTCAAGCAGGTAAAAAAATATATAGTAAATAAATCACAGACCCAACAGCTGGCAATAGGACAACACAAACATTTCTGGTCTCAGAGGCTGCAGAGAGATTGATTCTCCAACTAGAGCCAGCAGCCTTTTTGCTCCTCACCTGTGGGTATAGAGCTTGTAGGTGCTGTTAAACATTTCAAATGAGGTAAGAAAATCACTAGGGCTTTCCTTCAGGGTTTCCTAAAAATTAAGTAAAAGAAGAAAACTTTTAGTTGTAATTATGCAACAAAAAATAAATAACTGATAGATATAATATCACAGATATACCCTTTGAAAACAAAAAAAAGTTTTCCAGTGGTGCCTGCTGGTGTAATGCTTGCAGTATTTAACATGGAGTTTATTTATTTGCATCTTTGTGTTACTGCAGTGAATAATAGGGAAACAAAACAGATCAGGATGAAAATACTCTTTAATTCACTTAGTTTTTCAGAGTACTTGTATGCTTTCTTATATATACACACAGAGTCCCCACTGAAATCAGCTGCACTTGAAGCACTATGAACTTTTCCAAGCCAGGCTGGAGATCTTAATTCAGGCACAGAGAAGAATCTAAAAATGCCAATTAAAGTATAAACCAGATTTTTCCCAAGTTGAATTATTTCCAGATAGTCAAAGAAACACTGTGAACATTGACTCTCGGCTTTTGCACTTCTTTGCACTCCTGGTTTAAATGTTTCCATCCTACCCTCGGCTCTCACTTCACTATTTCATCTTCTCCCACTCAGAGTGTTCCCTCTCTGTGCACATTTGCCCCACTGATACTCAGTCTCTATTTCCTTGCCACGCTGACTCTCATTCTTGTAAATCTGAACCTGTTCTGGACTCATTTACTGTTCCTTTCTGTTTCCAGTCCCTGAGGCCTTAACCTTTCCTCTGCTTCCTCTAACCTCATCCTCCCATCCCTTCTTGGCTCCATGCCTTCATATCAGACACTGCTGCTCTGGGCCAAACAGCAGAATCTCAGGACTGAACCTTCAGAGTCACTGCTGCTGTTCCAGTAACCAGACAGAGCAAAAGACAGATCTGCAATTACAGAGTGCTGGAGGGCAGCCTGCGTGACACTGAAAGAGGTTCGGCAGTATTTAGCTTAAGTCTCTCCTGAACAAATATAGACTGGTTTGTTTTTGGCATTGGGTAGATTTGTGTAGGAGTGGCAGTGACCCTTGAGCCTGCCTTATTCTGAATTCTGTTCCTAAATCTTATGTCACAAAAACTTCTAAAAAGGAGAGTCCTGAAAAAAAAAAATTGATTGGAGAAAACAACTGTTTTCGTGTCCCTTGCATTCATGAAAATATAGAATTCTTCACACAGTCCCAGGTGAGGCAGGCACTAGACAAATAATTTCATAATTATTATGGTTGAATTTTAGTTGCTTATAACTTTGGCAACAGCCAAATCATGAAAAGCATAGCAGTGTTAAAACAGCTCTTTGTAGTTACCATTCTGCATCTTCTATTTGCTTGCAAATCTTTCATTAATGAATCTCCTAGTATTACAGTGCTGTTTCTTAAAAAAATAATATGAAAGCAAATATGCAACTGCCTCAGGTTATAGGAGGAAAAAAACCTCTGCAAATCAAGGGACAAAATTCTGTCACATGGGCAGAATTTTTCAGAAGCATCCTGAGCCATATGTGTGCTTTTTGGTGTGAAATTGATAACATAGGCTTGCAGCAGGCACGACATACAACTAGGATACATGAAGCCTTACTCCAAACCACTCTACTATTCATACTGTTGGCCCTCGTCAGTAGCAAACCTTCAAGGCCTTTTCCTGCAAAGCTATAAGGAGAAGTTTGAATCCTGAGCTGCAGTCCAGCCTCCTTTAAAGCTCTATTTAGTCTCTAAAACCCTGACACATAACACCCTTTCCTGTTGGTCCAATGCCCAGTTCAGCAGGTGTTATCAGTACAAAACAGAGGGCAAGTCCAGAGTACTAGAGGCTCTGCAGAACATGATAAGGTTGCACATCAGGTTTCAACATGACCCACCATGGCAGAACTCAAATATTCTGATATGAAAACCATGTGTTTAGTGGTCCCCAAACACCTATTTGAGAATTTCCATTCTTGTAAGCAAAATATGTTACACTACTTCAGAAATAGCAAGAGGGACAAAAACAACTTGGCAATATGGAGGTACTGAATGCTGTAGCATCCCTCCACTGTTTAACATCCAGGTAATTTTCCCATGCAATTTTCATACTTGGGTCCCAATTCAGACTTTCTAAAGAGATACAGAATTTCTGAAAAATCCAGCAGAGATGGGGAGAGTCCCCCAGAGACAAGAATTCTCCAGGAAACGAGAAGGAACAGGTAAGTAAACAAAGAAGGAGTAGCTGTGCTATTAGAAGTAAAAACAGGTGCTCCATTAGACAACTATCCCACCCTGCCACATTTAGTGAGGATCTGGAATGGAAAGAAATGATAACTCAGAAGAGACCCTAATTTGCTGTAATATGTAAGAATATTCCCTAAAAATGTGCTACATTTATCAAATGCAAAGTAATTGTCTTTCATTCATGGGGATTTTTCAGCCTAAGTCTAGAAAACAAAGGCTAATTCTCTTTGGTTTTACACATTTGCTTGCTTTCTCTTTCCTGCCTGCTTATCCAGGCTTCTTTGTTTGCAAGTGCCTATCAGCCAACTGCTGATGTCAAAGGGAAGGCTGTGCAGATGTTCACTACATCAGAGATGTTCTGCTTGTGCCAGAGCCAAAATGAGAGCACAGAGCCCAGCTGTGCCCATGTCTTCCCACTGGCATTGTGGTCTCGACTCGTATGCTTACAGCCACTCCTCACCTCAAACCGTGGCAGAAATGTGATCTGGGTTGAGGCTCCTCCCAAGTCCAGGGTCCCAGTAGTGTGCTGGTTATGGCCAGACAGCTGCCCTGCAAACCACATCATGTTCAGAACAGCCTGACGTGGCAAAATGCTATAATGCGGATACTGCATGTATGCTCAGGCAACCGACAAATTCCCACATCATGAGGCTGAGTGGGCCTTCAAAGAAAAAACCATCAGAGGAATGTTGTCGTAAAGAAGGTATTAAGAAAATTTCTTCTCTGACTCAAGTTTCACATTCTGAGAGACAAAAGCAGATGAATGTTTGGGTATACATGAGAAGCGGAAAGAAAGAGACATAGTAGAAGATTGTCAGGGACAGTGCATAAATTCTGTAATTACCATAGGTGCTCGTCAAGAACAGTAGGAGAATAAGGATATTAGAAAGAGCAGAACAAACTGTTATCATTCCTCTTCACCCAGGACAACATTTTTGAAATTTTTTTCTTTGCTTACTCAGATTTCTACTAGAACACTGATTTTATTTTCTCTTTGCTAGATTGCACTCTCAGAACTTATTAGAGCACATTGGGCTAATGCATGCTATAGCATCATGTTCACTGCACAGTTCAAAGTGAGATGAAGAATAGCATAACACCCTGTTTCCCATCTTCTAAGAAGTCAGTGGTACCATGGCCCGACATATATTACAGAAACCAGCTTGCCAGTGCCTCCCAGTCCTGAGTAAATCCTAGCACCTTCTGGATCAAGATGCCTTCTTGCTACATGTGGGACAGCCTCTGAGACAGAATCTGCCCAAGTCAATCCACTGCTTTAGCACTGTTGCCACAGTGGGGAGGAATAGGAAGGTACAGCAACCAAGGCAGAGGAACACACAGAGAGATCATCTCTGCAGAAGAAACTCAAGTTCAAATGTAAAGAGAAGTTATACAGCATTAGCTACCTGTCAAAAAGTTCACAGTGATCCAGGCTAAAATTCCTGCAGAGAGAAAAAGGAAAAAAAAGTCACCTCTGAATACTCTCGTGACCTCCTGCCTACTTTTACCACCATTCCACATTACTTATTTAGTAATGATTTCCATGTAATGTAATATAATCTCTCTAATATTTTAAACGTTAATTCAAACTTACAAGTCAGTTTAATATTACACATTATTGATGTATTAAAACCTCATTAGATAGGATATGAACAACATTTGTAGCAGGTATGCAACTGTAGCATACAAAAATCACACAGTAGCAACCACTAAAATGCAAACAGCTGCTCTTGGACTCCAGCAGCTGGCTTGAGGATGGCATGATTATCACCCAAACACAGGGAAACGTGACAGTAGGAGAGGTGGGTTTTAAAACAGAACTTGGCAGGCTACGCTGTGTTCTGTTATGCCTCACCGGTCCTGCTCCCTGTTAGTACCACACTTCTCCTTGATATACGCTTCATCTGTTAATCCTAGTGGCACACGGCGTGTTCCACTGTGCTTCATCAAACACTTGTAAACTTTGTGTTCTTTCTCTTTTTCTCTTGGCCCCCATGGACAGATTTTGCTCTTTAATCTTACTCCATTAATTGGTTGCTTAAGCTTCGTGATAATTCTTTCTGCCTTCCCTGAACAACTTCCTAAAATTCACCATAATGAAATGTTCAGAATTGAATGTGACATCATGGATGGCTTTTATCAGACATCCATACAGAATTACCCAGGATATGTAGCCAAAATGCATCATTGGTTTGTTCTGCACTGCAAAACCATTTATAAATAGTCATTAACTCCAAGCCTACATATTTTCTTGTATTTTGGGTTACTTCCTTTGCTACTTAACTACCTGCACCATTCCAATCTGATTTATCTACTTATTTTTACATTACTTATTTAGGTTACAAACCAGGCTAGAAATGTTTTTCTTCCTTCCCTCAGTTTAGGTGAGCATTTCCCCTTTAAATTCAGTCATTCCTGCTTCCCCTCCCGTTCCTCTTTGCCTTCAGTTTTTCTTCCTTCTAAAACACACCTTCATAAGACCCGTCCATGATGCTAACACTATCTTCTGGAACAAGAAATGGTGACTCCTCAAAGACTTCTTTCACCTGAAGAAAGAGAAAATGATTCAGTTCCTTGGTCTGAACAGTCTTGCTCTGCTCTGACAATGACAGAGAAAAGCTTTCCTTTTCACTGCAGTAGAAAAAAAGTCAAGAGAGCGTGACAAACAAAATTCTTCCTCTTCTAAGGGCCAGTAAAGAAAGCGACGTATCCAAAGTCTCTCTCCCAGAGTCTTCTATGCACACCAGGACAGAGGATTTCAGGACCATGCAAGAAAATTTGTGAAGTCTGCGAGTTTCATGCTATGGTGGGATTACAGTTACTTTTCACAGCCAAAATTCGCAGATGGCAACAGACTGGAGAACTGAGCCAGGAAAGATGAAACAGAGCAATAGTATTGTACCCAAAAGCTGTTAGTATTACCTCAGAGAGTAGAGCTTGAGCTTTCTCCTCTGACAGTAAGCGCAGTCCAGCTGTGGCTTTTAACACTACTGGAGTCTTCTTCCAGAGATGAGGTGGCACAGCATCTACGGCCATGTCCAGCAATTTTTTGACGGATTCAGCACCCTTAAAGGAAGAAATTGTATTTCTTACAGTTTTCCTTCAGAAAATGTGCCTCCTAACTCCTCAAAACTAGTGAAACTGGTATTCAACAGCAGAAAACATCCACGCCTAAAAGAAGCATAAAAACTGTGCTAGGCATCTCATACAAACCTTAAAGGAAGGTCAGATACATTCAGAGTTATATCCTAGGAGACAGAATTAAATTTCATTGTTTGTGGAAAGTATTTTTGGAAAAGATGGAAGGAAGCATGGGAACTGAGTATCTGACAAACCTAGGCATCTTGTAGTATGATAAAACTAAGTGGTGCAATTACTTACTGATACTGCAAAGGTCAGGGGGGATGTCTGTGGATTTCAGTAAATGCACATAAGAATTCCAAGTTCATATAAAGTAGCCTAATGACAATGACAGCTGTAGAGTGCTTATCATATGAGGCACAGACATCACTGCTGGGCTCTCAACTATTTATACTGCTCTAACAATTATAGTTTGGCATTAGCAATAAGCATTCTCCTGTGAAATTTCTAGAAATGTCTCTTGGTGGTGATTTTTCTCTTCTCCTACCCAATAAACAAGACAATTTAGTGAAATCACAACAGAGCTTATCAAAGTTTTAAAAAAGAGCCATCTACTCTTCGCCAGAGTTTCACACTAAAATTCTTACAGCACTGAATGCAGCTGAGCACACTGCACACTGAAATCTGAAGCTCCCCCTAAGTTAGCCCTAACTCCAGGACTGCTAAAGCAGGCAAGGCACAGAATCTAATATATCATTTGCCTGGCATCTCCTTTAGCTTGTGAATGAGCTTGCTGTCAGCAGAAGGGATCTGGAAAATGGCAGCTCAGCCCAGGACTGGCTCTTTGTATCAGCTCGCTTCCTTTAGCTGTCTTCGCCCTGCTGCTCATTTCTGACTCCTGATCAGAGTGGCCTGAAAGAAGTGCACTGCACATGAATTTGCAACCGTATGCATTTGAAAATAAAAAAGGCTGCACCTAACTTCAGTTTCTTATTACAATTCTAAATTGTAAATTTATTAATAAAGTACTAATTAACATACCTGATTGCAGATTATGGATCTGCCCAGCTTTATTTTTTAAAAACTCCATACACGAATAAAAACGAAAGTCCATAATCAGTAAAACAGGAATTGCCCATACCAAAATCATTACTCAGCTACAGCTGTGATGAAATATTCTCAAAGACATATGATCTAATTAGATATAGCAGTTAAGCAATTAATTAAGCCATTGTTCCACTGATGAAATACATGAAGTAATAGTTTCCATTTTACTGTGTGGAAATTAACTCACAAAAGTGGAGCAATAGGTTTGGAGAGCCAGTAATAGAATCTTTACATTTTTCTTGACTCCCTGCATTACAATTTTGAATATTTGAACTGCTTGGTAGAATGCAACTGATATTAGTAGAAGGAGGATCAACTCATGGGGAATGAAAGAGAGCCTTACCTTTTCAGGCTGATCAGCATAGGCAGAAAGACCTGGCTTCACAGATTCAAATATTTCCCCTTCCAACTCTGGAAGGATTTCTGCACAAATGAAACATTACATGAAACAATCAACAATTCAAATATATATATATATTATATCTTCTATATATATATAGAAGATATATATATATCTTCTTTAGCTTCCAAAAGGTTGTCTGAGGCACTCTTAAAGAAACACTCCTTGATTTCCCCTTGCAAATAATAAATCCCCCCAAATACACTGCTCCTCCATTTCAGAAACATACTTAACAGAACATTGCCCTTGTGTCCTCCAAGTTCATCAACAATTTATTACAAACATAATTAGAAGGATGTTTGTTCACTATGCATTTGTAAGTCACAAGTTGTAGCAATGTAGCATGACTGTTGCCTAATCTTAACGAAATTTCTTTCCTTTCTTGTTCCCAAGCTAAGTGTGAAATATTAATTCATATTAAGGCACATACAGTCAGCTCCTGATTATTCATAGGTGATTCATCCCATTCATAAAGACAGAGAATGCTGAACAGAGCTGACTGTCCCCAGGCACTTGGCTGCAAAGCCAAACAAATGTGACTATTGCTCCCAGAGCAGCGTGGCTCTACCATGTATATCTCAGTATTGCATATCATCTATCGGAGTTGGACATTGCACCAGCCCTTCCCAAAGAATGTTGAAATCATGTGAAGCCCACATGAGGTACTACAGTACTGTAGTATACGGGCACTACATGTGGCCCTGAAGGGCTTATTAGCCTTTAACCTTTGCAGATTTGCTGGTTCACAGTACACAAGCTAATTCACCCTCTCGAATTCTGTTTAATGTGCAGCCAAGCTGGGCACCTCCACACCACATCAGATGTAGATATTCTGTGGTGTGCTGCATCTGCTTACAGTTCTGGAAACTGCCTAGGTGGTTATAATTCTTTAATGTATTGATTTCATTTTGATATAAAATGTTACATATACAGAATGTAAATATTTATTGATATAATTCCAGGTAACAGGCAACTTGGAAATCTTCCCAATTCAATGGGACATTCCTTTAAACAACTGCACAGGTGAAAATCTTCAGAAATTCAATATACCCAGAAAGAAACCTCTGGGTTTCTCAAGATGTGCAAGAAAGAACTTTTCACAGTGAAACACCACCATAAATGGTAATCAATCACCCCCCCCGGAGGATGACCTGAACGATAAACAGGAGAAATCTTCAGTTGATCCCAAATTCAGTATTGATGCAAACAAAATCCTCTCATGTGAAAACAGAACCTGAGTCAACATATGGCAGGTGCACAGACTGACACAGGGTCTCACCTGGGCTCTTCTGCACAAAGGTATAAATGTGGATCCGGGTTCCAGTGCTTCCTGCATCAAACATTATGCCATAAAAAGTGTTGGTCTTGGCATTTATAGGGCACGTGTTAGGTGGGAAGAGATCCTGAAACCACATCTCCCTATTTGAATGGGAAAGAACAGGGGACAAAGAAGAAAAGACCAGTGCTAGAAGGATGGGGAGTCTGGAAGATGTCATCATGCCAGGATCACTTGAGGTGGTCAAGCGTGGGTCAACAGTCATAGAGCTGGTGTAGATCCTGTAGGGAAAAACAAATAGGAAGGAAAGTTACTAAGAGTCCTCTCCTAACCAAGTCTGTAGAAAAAGTTCTGCCTCTACACAAATATTCTGCCCTTTGGATAGAAAATAGCTTTTCAGCACCTCATCCACAAGTTATTATTTACTGCATTTTGGTGCTAGAACTGCATTTTGATGCTAGAACTGCATCTAAGTGTTTTGTTCTTTCACAGTAAAGATTTCTCCATTTCCCAAATGCAGAAGAGTTGAAGTACGATGTTTTCCCCAGTATTTCTAGCTTTTACTTTATTTGGGCATTTTTTTTCTCCGCTTTGGCTTTAAAAGTCTCAAGTTTTACAGCTCCCAGAAACTCCAGGAAGTCCAAATATTGTCTAAATAGAAGCACCATCAAAGGGGAGCTCAAGGCAGAGCCACTTTGCCCTGATATTTATATGCATGAGATGCTGTGGCGAAACACAAGTATTATTCAAAGAAAGAGAATTTTATCTCAGGCTCTGAGCAACTTCTGGGAAAGATCAGTGCAAAGAGTGAAGGCAGCATCCTGGCTCCCAAGGGCTCCTGTGCTGCACAAGAGGGACCAAGCTGTGATGCGCACCTGGGCTCTGCCTCTCAGTACCTTTCTTCTCTATTTTTCACACTTCTCCCTTCATTTAGTTTCTTCACCCTTTTCTCCTGAGAGTTTTCATTCTCAGAATGAGAAAACAAAACCAAAAAGCACAGTTTTCCAGTGGCCCAGTCATCCCAAACACTCAAATTGCTTACAAGAAGCTCCTAACATCAGTTTCTAGTAAGCCAAGGCCTTTGGGTGAAATCAGGAGTCTCAGTACTGGATATCAGTACTATATCAACAACTATATCTCCTTTCTGTTCTTGTGCATTTCTTTGCAAAAGTTCTTTACTAACAAATGCTAATAAAGAAAAGATGGCTTCATAATGGTGTCTGGTTAAAGAGAAGGAGAGTATGTAGCTATCTTTGTTGTTCACTTTTGAACAGCAGAAATGAGCACATGGCCAGATATCCCACCTTGTGCAAAATCACCTGTGTTGACATGCTCACACACAGAAGCTGCACTCATCTCCCCAGACAAGTGCTTACACACCCATTTGCTCATAGCAATGAATGTTCTGCCCATAAGCCTGCTCATCTGCTCTGTTCAAGCCCTCATCTGCTTTTAGTGCTAGCATTTAATTGTGTTTTAGAGATCCATTCAACCTCACTTGCTCAGCCTCTCTAAATCTTTATTTGTAACCTCTATCCTATTCTTACCCATTACAATCCCTAACCTCTCTCCTTTCCTTTCTACACAATTTGACATAGCTTCTATTTCCCTATACCTTTCACCTATGCCCAGAGAACTCACTCATCCTTCCCTCCCACATTCAACCCTTATACACCTTCCATTATTTCAACCTTTGTTTGTAGTTAGAGCAGAAGGAGATTAACTTTTACCCATTCTCACAAACCACATCATGCTGAGTCATTCTCTGAGCACCTTTCCAACTCATTCAAGCACTCAGCTATCTCCAGAGCAAACACAGAGCTCAGCCTGTTACACAAGGGGAGCCTTGCTTATCTTCTGTGACCTTTATTTGATTGCACAGGATCCCCTCTGCCTTACAAACATGTTCTGAGAAGAGATTTTATGATTGCACAACGAACAGCCCTGCCATCCCTCTCTGACAGACCAGAAGGTGAAGCTGTTCAGGAGAGGTGTTGATGTATAATGCAAGTATGTTGTTTACTAAACAACCACAGCTAAAACTGAGCACCTGCCTTGAGAACAAACCCCAGAATCTTGTTACAGGCAGCACACGTGACACTTACATAAGCTGCATGATCTCAGTTGATCCCAAAATATCTGACCAACTGCCACCATTAACACATGCTCTTCTTGCCAGGTCTCCTGACTAAACTGCTCCTGTACAAAATGCCTCTTCTGCAGCCCTTCTCAGCCATCCAGCACCATCTCACTCTTCCCATTCTCTACCTCTCCCCTGGCTTCTCCCTTTCTTTCCACCTTCGTCCATCTAAGGTCCCCACTCTCCCCCCACAAAAAATCCCACGACAGTACCTCAGGACCTCCTCCCTCACCTGAAAAGAGAAAAGCACAGAGTCTCTCTGATGAGCAGTTCTGACTTTCTAAGCAGATGCACGCCGGCACCCACAAGAAGCAGAGATGGGCAAGGAGAGCACGAGGGCAGCGCCAGCAGAGGGAGATGGCATAGAATAATTGAAATGCCAGTGAAAGACGAATTTGAGCAGTGGGTCAGAAGAAAGGATGAAGGGAACATCTTAGGGTAGAGGCAGGCGGGAGGGAGGGGATCGGCCACTGAGAAAGAAAAACTATTTCCAAAAGAGTTTCCCTCCACCAAGGTAAAATCCTCGATGCCGTCAGAACACAGCGGGACGGACGACACGAAGAACAAACAGCCGGGAGAAAGCAAGCGGGGGCACAGGAGTACGAGTGCGGGTTCACGAACGCGAGCGGCCGGCCGGCCGGCACCGGCGCGCGGTACCGAGCTGCGCAGCCCGCCCGGCACGCACCTGCAGCGGGGCGCCGCTCCCCTCCCGGCTCCCGCCGCACCGCCGTCCTTCAACGCGCCGTTCCGCTGCGGGCCGCGGACGCTGCGACTGGCGGGTCAGCGGGGCGCGGGCTCGAGTTTATCATTACTCGATAGGAGCGGCGGAACACGCTCGGATAGGCGCAGGGAAGCGATGCGAGAAGTTGAAAGTTAACCGAGTTGGACGTTAGTCAAACATTGACCCGCTGTAGCGGCGTGGCACGAGGCACTGCGGGCTCGCGGCACGCACGCCTCGACGCCGACCCCGCAGCCCGCCGGGCCGCTTCCCGCCCCCGGGGCGCTGCCGAGACGCCTCGCCGCCGGCAGCTCTCGCACCTACCGCTCCCTCAGGAGCGCCGGCTCCCGCGGGTAACGGCGCGGACGCGAAGGAGGCGCCACGCGAGCGCCCGTCCCGCGCGGCCCGGCCGTGTCAGCGGGCAGCGCGGGGCCGGATGCGGTTCCCATGGCGACGCGGAGCCGTCCCCCCGCCCGCCGCCCCGCGCTCACCGGCAGCTCGGAGCGCCGCCGGCGCCACATCCCGCCGGTACCGCACGTCACGCAGCGCGCCGCCCGGCGCGGGGGTTGCACGTCGCCGCCCGGTTTCCACGGCAGCGGGCGGTAACGGAAGCCGCGGAATGGAGGGCGGGCGGGCCCCGCCGTGGGAGGCGCGGCTGGCGGAAGCCGAAGCGGGCCGGACCGAGTACCGCGAGGCTGCCCGGCTGCTGGCCCGGCGCAACGCGGAGCTGCTGCAGCGGCAGCGGCACTCGGAGAGGGAGGCGGCGGCCGTGCTGGCGCTCCTCGCGGAGCAGGGCCGGGAGAGGGCGGCGGAGGTGCGAGCCGGGCTGCCGGGTGGGCGCCTTAGCGCCGCTCTGACCGCTCCGAGTCCGAGTACCGAGGGAAGCGGCATCTCCGAAACGAGCTGGAACTACGTAGCTCGCTCCGAAAGTAATGCCTCCTGTATATTTCCATGGAAGCTGTAACAGCTGCAAAGAGCACAGTAACGCTATTTGATACGGCAAATTCTCAGCTATAAAACACCATTTTTCAGCGTAGCCACTGCCATTACCTATGCATTTTCGCCAGCCAAGAACAAGGGCCTGCGTGCCACGCTCCTAAACATCTGTACCAGCAGAGGTGATGCGCTGTTGCCACTGCTGAAAGGCACCACCTGCACCTTACCGTGCTTGCATCCACCGGTTGGTCTCCATTCAGCAAAGGTTGATGAATGCCAATGGCAATGGGTGCCATTTTTTCCGCATGACAGAATTCACACTTTTGCTCCATCCCGTCCTTCCATGTCAGGACATCGGTCTGTCGGACTGCCCCTCTGCTGCCATCTGTTGCATGGCAACAACGTGGAGCAGAACATTGCTGGGAAGGTTTAACCTCTACTGCCACAGCTCTAACATCCACTTCTGACCTTGTGGGACAACAACATAAAATAGGAGGCATTACTTTTGGAGCAGAACTCATAAATGATTTAAAAATTCTGTTTAAGGCACAAATCATCAATCCCCAGAACACTGATGGGGTTAAATGACAGGAGACAATGCTCTTGATTACACCCAATCCTTTTTCTTGTAGCTATCATGAGTAGTAGCCCTTACTCATCCCTTTTCCAGCTGCTTTACCTCCTTTTCTGAACTGCTTCTCAGTGCTGCACCATTGCACAAAACAGTAAGGAAGAAAACCCTCCATCCATGCAGTTTTAATTCACAGAACTCTATGTAGTACAGGTGGGTTTTTATTGTTCATGCTTGCACTATTTCCCTTGCTTAGCACAAACCAAGGGTGGTTCTTTCACTCTCCAGTTTTAAGTACACTTCAATCAGCCTGAACACTGCAAATGAGGACCTTTCTCTTTTGGTGTCTTCTCATAATTGATTTTAAAGAGAAAAACACAGCTCAGACACTACTCCTTTCTAACTTCCCCCCTCAGTTAACATTTCTTGATTTTTATTTTCACAGACTGAGAAACTGAAGAAGGAGCTAATTGATTTGAAACAGCGAACACAAGAAGAGAACAAGAAACTGGTGAATGAACTTTTTTGTCCTCAGAACAATGGGATCCACTGAGCAGGTTGAACAGTAGTTCTGATTTTAGTGTGAGGAATAAGTTAGGGCAGCAAACTCTGCAAGAATCTTGAGTAGAAAAGAACTTGAAAAAAAGAATGGTGATGTGGGAATTACCTTGCGACTCTCTGTTATTTTGGATAATAGGAATACCCTATTATTTAGATAATAGGATCAGCCTTGCAGAGAAGGACCTGGAGTCCTGGTGGATGAAAAACTTAACGTGAGCCAGCAGTGTGCTTTTGCAGCTCAGAGAGCAAATGATATCCTGGGCTCCATCAAAAGAGGGGTGACCAGCAGGGACAGGGAGGTGATTGTCCCCCTCTACTCTGCTCTTGTGAGGCCCCATATGGAGTACTGTGTCCAAGTGTAGAGCCCCCAGTACAAGAAAGACAGAGTGCTGTTGGGGAGGGTTCAGAGCCACGAAGATGATCAGGGAACTGGAGCATCTCCCCTATCAGGACAGGCTGAGGGAGCTGGGCTTGTTCAGCTTGGAGAAGGCTGCAGGGTGACCTCATTGCTGCCTTTCAGTACCTAAGGGGAGCCTACAAACAAGAGGGGAATCAACTCTTTGAAAGGATAACGGCAGGACAAGAGGAAATGGTTTTAAGTTGAGGGAGGGGAGATTTAGGTTGGATGTCAGGGGAAAGTTCTTTACAGAGAGAGTGGTGAGGTGCTGGAGCAGCTGCCCAGAGAGGTTGCGGATACCCTGTCCCCGGAGGTGTTCAAAGCCAGATTGGATGGGGCCCTGGGCAGCCTGGTGTAGCATTAAGTGGGGAGGTTGGTGGCCCTGCATGTGGCAGGGGAGTTGGAGATTCATGATCCTTGGGGTCCCTTCCAACCCTGGCCATTCTGTGATTCTGTGAATACTTTATAATATCTGAGATAGTGTGAAGAACCAGCTGGGTGATGGTGAAGCCAGAGACCAGCAAAAAGATGTTTCATTTTTATCGAGTTAACAAATAATTAATTTGAATTCTTCTATATTTCTCCTTCATTCATTTCTATTGAAGCAAAAATTCATAAAAAGAACTAAGAACATTATTGTTCACTAACAACCTGGCTTCAATGAAGAAACACAGAACTGTGCTCATCTCCACTTTAAGACAGCATCTGCTGTGAAGAAGGCTCCATAACATTTCTCCCATCCTCAGATTATAAAGAATAAGAAGGATATGACTGATGCTCCAAATACTGCTTTACACTTACTAGTCATTTCTAAAGTTTTTATTTCATTAGAGGGTTGGTAGCTTCTGCTGAGTTTGCAGCACTTCTGCTCATGATGAATTTCTTGCATTCCTTGTTTTTCAAAACATTGCAGTTCATTGTGATTTCAGATATTCAGTAGTGTGTGCTACGTGTTTCATGTTACAAGATTTGATGGCTGGCTTCTCTCATTTTGGTTCCTTCTTACTGGTTATTTCTGAATTGCAGGAAGACCATTATACCCAACAAATAAAAGAACTGGAAGAGAAACTTCAGAAAAAAGTTGAAGAAATCAGCCAAATTCAAGTAGAATTGAATTTAATAAAGGAATTCCGCAGAGAGAAAGCAGCTATGGAGGAAGAGCTGGAAGGTGTAAGTTTGTCGTAAAGATGGTTTGTAACACATACTAAAAAAGCAACCTTTCTTGCTTTATGGTAACGGAGCTTGGGAGTGGAGAACAGACACAGCTGATCTACTAGACTGTTTTCTTTCAGCAGTTTACAGAGTCTGAGGAAAAGCACTAAATCTGTAAAAAGCAAATTCCATAGCCAGAAATTGCATCTGCAATGGGCCAGTGCTGTAGGGTGTTGTGTTTGTTTGTTCGTTTGCTTGTTTTTAATTTTTATTTTACTTTTAACAAAATCAATGTGGAATCATACAAGCACATATATGGATGCAGCAGAGGATTTAGTGCATGTTTTGAATCTGTGCTACACATATTAAGTAGTGGCATTAACAGTAACACATTTCAGCTGAGATAGCAAGCATCTCCGCTGACTGAGGAGATCCAACGGGCACCTCAAACAACTTGAGTTGTCTTCCTGACTCAGCTCACCTCATTTTTTTTCCAGCTACAATGCAGGTCTTGGAAACAAAACAACATGTTTTCTATGGACAAAAATGATTGCTCAGTGGCATTTGGTTTGTTAACATATAGCTGCTTTTAAACAAAGACATTCAATAAAGTTAGTCATGCATTTTTCTAAGGATGCTCGAGGCATTGGATTTTAAATCTTGATGACTGAATGAATAGGCAAACTAGATTCCTAAAACTAAGCATGAAACAGAATGATAGATCATGTATGTGAGTGACTGACTGATATGAAAATAAAGGCAAAAGTGAACTATGAAGAATAAGCAGAACAGCACCAAAAGTCAGATTTAAATGAATTTTAGAGATTGTGGGAAGATCTGATGAGGACGGTGGTGTAGTGCCAGGAAAAAGTACCAAGTACCTCCTTCAGTTGTTGCATCTGCATTTTTTAATTATGAGGCTGAAATTAAAACACTGGTATTACAGAGGTTTATTTTTTTTATCACAGCTAAAGAAGAATATCAAGATCTCAAACAGGAGACATCAGGAAGAGGTTGTGCAACTGGAGAGGAGGTTTCTTGAAGAGAAGGTAAAAGCTGACAGGCAATGAAATGAACTTTTATTAGAATGATTTCTCCCACTGCTTATTCTGGCTTCTTTATTTCTGACAGCTCCTTTCTCAGCAGTTTACAGTTCCTCATGTCAGTGTAAGTATGATGACTGAGATGAAGGGTAGGTGCAGCTTTCAAAGGAAAGGCATAGGATGTCATGGTCCCAGAGAGGCATTATTCTCCACTGCTATCAGGAACTTAAGTGCCCATGGAAGTTCATTCTTTTTTCATTAGTAAGAAGCTGTGCTACTGAAACTTGTGTAGGATTTTAGAATTTACACTGTAACAGGTTTTAAGCTTCAGTTCCAAGGGCCTCAAGCAAAGCTTGAACCAGCTTTTCTCTCTTTCAGAAAAGACTAGAAGAAGATGCTGAGAAGAAGATAATGATGACAAGAGAGGCTGCTCGACACGAAGCTGTTTTGTAAGAAGCTCTTGCATTTTCTGCTTTCTACTTTACTGAACCATTTTAGTGCTGTGTTTTGAAGAGCTATTTTTTCCATGTTACTGCATGGACCTTGAAGGGCAAAACTGGTGATGACTGAGGCTGTTTTTCTAATTTTAAATGTCAAGATGATGGCAACACTCACATTTAAGCTATAAGGCTTAATTTGGAAATTAGGATGATGAAGTAATGATTTTAATATTTAAAAAAAAGTATGAAAGTTTATGATTAACGTTCATGGATTTTGTTTCACTCTGTCCAGGCAGCTGAACAGCGTTGAGAGACAAGTTTTTAAAGAGAACATTCATCTTCATGGTGCTTCATCTTCTCACCTGAAGGAGGCAACGGAGTTACAGAAAATGAAACAGAAGTTAGAGGAGGATAAAATTCTTCTGTCACAGGAAAAGGTTTCTGTTCTGGTTTTAGTTCTGTTTCATTCCCCTCCAGAAAGGGGTCCTTGAAGTCCTGGAAACAGATGTAAGTGTACTGAGAATAACTTCTTCACAGCCAGACCTGTTTGCAGCTGTGAACTCAGAGTTAGCTGAAGAAAGAAGAGCACTGATTCCATCTTAATGATGGAGGAGACTGAAGGGAGGTTCTCCCATAATGGTCCAAGAATAGGTCTTTCTGTAGTGCACACTACTCATCAAACCTTCATTTGGCTTCTGTTGCAAACAAGAAACTGACTCCAAAGAAATATTCACTCTCCAGTATGAAGGTGCCAGCATCTTGACTACACTGTCACTGCTGGGGGAAAAGAAAAAACTCCAAATTTGGTGCAAAACAAAAGCCCAAGTAATTTCTTCTTCTAATCTTTCAGGAAATCACTGAAAGTTTGATGAGAAAAAAGATCCTACTGATCAACAAGCAGAAAGCACAGATAGGAGATCTGCAAAATAAAGTGGAAAAACTAGAGCTGGCCTTATGTCGCAAGACTAAGGAATTTGAGACAAAGACTCAAAAAACACAGCATCAGGCACTGATAGAAAACCAGGCTAGCATGGTCGAGATCAAGAAACTGCAGCACCTGCTAGAAATGAAGGATCAGGAGATGAACCGAGTGAAGAAACTAGCTCGGAATATCTTAAATGAGAGGACTGAAGTGGAAAGGTTCTTCCTGGATGCTCTGGAACATGTGAAGAGGGAGATCATAGCCAGCAGAAAACACTATAAGGAAATGGCCCAGGCTGTTTATTACAGGAAAATGATGGAGGCGTGTGCAGGGAAGGAAGAGTTTCCCAAAATCAAAACATTTAATAGCAACGTGAACAGCACAAATAGTGTGTACAGAGACCTAGAAGAAGCAGAGAAATGCTACTGGTATTTTAACATCAAAAACTAGTGCTTATCTTCCTACTGTACCTTAAAAAAATACAACAAAACCCCAAAATCTTTGTGATTATATTGTCTAGATTTGGAATACTTGTGGACGCTGCTGTAATGAGAATAACTATGAGGTGTAACATCCTATCAATTAACAATGGCTTTCTGGATGCCTAACTACACTTTCTGTCATTATTTCAATGGATTAAATTGAATACAGGCTCAAAAGTGACCTTTCCATATTCCACAATGTGCTACGGAAGTTAATACTGAATTTTCAGTATAGATGTACTTCTACTTCTGCAGTTTCTTTTTAATAATTATTGTTGCATCTCTGGTCTTTGCAGGTCATACAGGCATCATTCTCACAACGCTCTTTTCTCTCACTACAGTTACCTATCAACACTGAAGCCTAAAAATTACGTTGTCACAATCTTAATAGCTCCTTAGTACCCTGCTGGCAGTTTTAACTGAAGCAACCAGTAGATGGCATGTACTCCCTGTTCAACTGTTTGTTCATTTGTCAGAGGTTCTCGGCTTTGCATTGTAGTTTCAGAGCTTGTTTTCTTCAAGCTTCACAATAATCTATAAAGCAAGCTACTGCATGAAATATACAATAAGATCAGTATGAAGGTCATATGCACTGTAGAACTGATTGACAGGATTATGTTTGAAAATAAAAAACCAAAATCTGATTTATAAGCATCTAAGAATTTGTATTAGGATGCAGCTTAGTTTAAATTGAGGCGACACATGCCGCAGTAGCCAGTTTTATAGATCTCCAACCTCCTGCTACAAACTACAGCAATATCTATGTGCTTTAAGCCATAGAATTAGGGACCAGTATAGCTGTTGTTTGCATCCAGCTTTGGTGAGAGGTCACGATTATACTACTCCCAAATAAAATGTTTGCTTAGTATGCACCAACCGTTGAATGAGCAACTCACTGACGTGCAATCAATTAGAATGCATCATTCAGCTTATCACAGCAATGACACAGAATTCAGAAATCAGAGGGGAAAGTAGTTTGCAGAGATCTAAGGAAGTTTCCCTTCGAAAGAAGAGAAGGGGAAGACTGAAATTGAGGATAAAAGTGGGTTACATGTTAACTCTCCTGTGTGCGAACAATGAAAAAGTAAGGAAAGGACAATGTACTTGAAATTAATACCTATCAGTACTAGCCTCCTCCCTCCTGGTATTTATAATCAATAACTGTATAACAGAAATAGTGGTGTGTTTGTTTTTTTTTATTATTATTATTCTACTTATTTAGACAGCCACAGATTTAGAAATTAGAAAGACAGTACACAAATTTATCTTCTGAACTTACATACTATGAATAGCTTACCAATTGCAATGTAAAACACTTTCTACACATACAGAATCATATGATACATCTATATCTACATATCATGTATCTATATCTATATATCATATATCTACACATATAGAGTGAGAGAAATGCCTTTGTCATTTTCTCCTAATCCATTGATCTTTTCTGTGTTTTTCAGGGAAAATACCCAGTTTAAAAAAGTAGATGTCAGTGAGTTGACATGGGAACAAAAAGAGCGTGTCCTGAGATTACTTTTTGCCAAAATGAATGACACAAATCTATGGTAATATTCTGTTTCATCAGTAGGTGAATACAGAACTTTCTCTGTTACAGAAGCTTGGCTGATAAACTCCAGAGCAGAGGAGATTCTGCATCTACCAGAAGAATCTAGCTAACTGTGTGACTTGGTGTAAGATGTTTTAACCTCATGAAAGAGGTGCTATATACCAATTTTGGATGTGCACTTTTCTTCCTCTAAAAAAACCAAAAATTAAACACAGTTCTGGTGTATCTACTGAAGGAATTGATCAGGCCATTGGTCCATTTCCTTCCTGATTCCCAAATAACTATTATTGTGGTCAGTCATGGATAGTCTTCACAGTGGTAAAGAGGATTATCTGGACCTCTGCTAACATCAAACATGAAATAGTCAACCCTATATTTGTAAAGCCAGAGATAACTGAAGGGCAGAAACAGTGCACAGTAGCACTGACCACAGCCTGTACAATGCCTGCTTTGCACTCACCTCATTCACTTTCAATTGCAATTATTTTTCCACAAAATACAGAATTCAATAGTGAACGTATGTTTGATTCATATAGCTGATTTCAGATAGTGCATTGCAATAACTCAATAGTGTCCTGATATTTCTGGCTTGCTACTCTTTTTAGAAAACAAGGAGTTTGCTCTGGGATTAGAAATCTAGTTGAGTTTACATCACCCTCAGATGACAATAACTTTGCTATTGTTTCCTCCTCACAGGAAATACAGGAGAGATCTGGCTACTTCAACTCCAGCTCCTGCTGATGCTAACAAAGAAAGTATAGCTGGGTAAGACACTAAATTTTACTACACTGTTTAACATCCCCACAGTCCTGATAATGTAATTCTCTTTGTCATCCCTCCTCCTTTCAAAATAGTTTATCTGAAGATCTGTATTGGTGTAGACAGATGTATACAAAGAAATATATGTGTGACAAGTGAGGAATTTGTTACTTTTATATTTCTAGTCGTAGTGATCTTTTAGTAGGGGGTCAACTCAGCTTTTCATGACAAACACAAAAAAATAAAAATCTCATGCTATCTTAAAGCTTCTTCTTATCAAAAAAGCAGCTTTAGTATTTTTAGAGGAAAAAAAGTGAAAGGCTACAGTTGTACAGAGAGCCATATTTTCATCTAGAACAGAGAGTTTTGATTAAATGACAAAATACATTAAGCTGATTTTGTATTCAGTATAGGATCACTTAAAGGTGATAGGTGTGTGGGGAGTGATGTACAGGAACTGCTAAGTCATGGCCTGAACCACTGATTGAGCACCTGGGGAAAGAACCCGGTCAGCCCTGGGGGCACAGGTGAAGGCAATTCAGCTGTGTGACCAGAAGGGGTGGAGCCTGGCTGCACCTCTCTGAGACCTCATTTCAAGGCTGACTGCTGCTGGGGAAGGATCTCTTTTTGGAGATCCCTTCCTGGTGGTGCTTTCCCCTGTGAATCTGGAGTCTTCTGATACATGTAAGCAATCTTCTTCCTTTCCTTTATAGCACCTTTCTATTGTGCAGATCCTTCTGTCGTTACATCTCTGGTGAAATGTGTTTTTCTATCACATTTATCTGTCTAATTGCTGTAAGCATTCATATGCCTGGTTTTCAGAGACAGACTCAGATGCGATATGCAGCTGTTTATAATACTCTAAGGCAAGCAAAATCAATTTACCCTGAAGAAATGAATGGAGTTCTACCATGTTATCATGGAGCACTATGTCAGATATGAGGCAGTCAAACACTCACAATTGAAATCCTAACACTCAGGAACCAGATGAGCAGATAACATTCATAAAGAATCCATAGAGGGATTTTAATGGGAAGATGAGAGAGCTCCTTCTAAGAGGCTGACTGCCACTTCCAGAAACAGGTGTGGAAGTGACTGGTGGCTTTTTTTGTACAGACAGGGAAAACAGAAGCAGAAGTTGCAGAGCCCAGTTCTCAAATATGGTTAAACTATTGAAATGTACATTTTTTTTAGGACTTACACTGTTAAACAGTTTTGAGAATCTAGACTGCAATGTCCTCCAGGCCAAAAAAATAAAAACAAGCCAAAAACCAGGGGTTGACTATAAAATTGTGTTTTAATAGAGACTGCAGAAATTTGAAATCCTTCATAGTGAGATTACATTTTTGTATAATACAGAAGATGTTCTTTACCTTGTATAGCATATGTTAATTAAAAAGAATAACAAACAGGTGGGTGAAAAGCCATAATAGCAGTGAGATGAAGCATGTACATCATGATGAGTGAGAATCTGCAGCTTGATCTAAAAAGATGTTTAATTAACTAAAAAGGCAGATAAAAAATTTGTATTCCTGATACACTTAAAATAATCTGATTTCAAAATGCTGTGGGAAATGCAGATGATCAGAAAATGAATTTGCACACAAGTGTGGAAGAAGTGCAGTGACTCCTGCAGGTCTCCATCCAGAAGGCAAGCTTTGTAATAAAGACTAATTTTGCTATCAAAGTAAATCTCAGAATTTATAAAAGAAAGAGGTTGTGCTTTGAACAGAAAAGTCAGAATAGCAATACTGATTGGGAAAAAAATCAGTGATTCGAAAGCAAATGACTGTAGACTGTAGTACAAATTATTACTTTATATTCCTTTCCCAGATATATGAATGAATGTCAAGGTGTTATTAGTGATTTACCTAGAATATTTTATCTTTTCAGCACAGAAAATATTTCTTCCAACCAGATATTCATTACACAGCAGGCTGAATTATGAGTCGTCATCTTGTGCAGTAATCCTTCCATGTACTCAGATGTTAACACTACGGGTAGAGGAAGGCAGCGGTACGCATGGCATCAACAGGAACAACTTCCACAGCACTTACAGACTCATCTGCAATTTTCACTTTGCGAGTTACCTTGTGAGCAAAGCTGCAATTCTACAACTTATCTGCTGAATGCAGCACTGGGGTGGTAACTTGATTAAAGATGTATTTTCAGTTTGCAATAAAGTCAAGTGTATGGGGCTTAACAGCTTTTGCGATCACATAATAGATATGTGGAAATAGAACCAAGGCATTCCTTGGAATGCTGTATGAGGAAATGACTACAGAAGTTCTTGAAATACTGTTTTTCTTTTTTTTTCTTTTTTTTTTTTTTAAAAAAAAAAAAGGATTTATACAGAGGTTACAAAAGAAATTGGTATGCCAGCCTCTGCAAAGAGGGTAATATGGTCAACAGAACACCTATAGAATATCTTATCAAGAGCAATCACTTTCTGCAGTGATTAGCAAATTTTTAATTCATAATCAAATTGCAAGGTGATAATTTTCCCTCTAGAGTATAGCAGAAGGAAAAAAAAAAAACCAACAAACTAAGATAGAAACATTAGTGGATCACCAGTAGTTACTCTAATAATCATGTGTTACATTGTATCTTTATCAGAAGGCAGGATACAGAGTCTTCACATTCAGATTGTTTTAATCAGAACAAGTAATGATTACAATCATTTAGAATAGTATCATTTTCCATGGGTACTTGAATGAAGTCCCTGCAGATTTTCCCCTTCCCTTCCCCCCTCATGGCTTCATCTTCTAGGAAGCAAGAATAAAAATATAAGCTATCCAGCTCCAAATGCATGTATAAGAACAGGGTATAGCAAGAGTTACCCATCTCTAGCACTGAGATCTGCAGTCCGTAGAGGACATGACTGTATTTGAGCAAATGTGACAGAGTTGATCAAACACACACACAAAAAATACATTTATATTCAGGAAAACACACAGAACAGGCCTAATTGCTTTGTGATTAAATCAGGTGTTTCCTCCTACTGACCTGTTTACCTATTCTTCCTACCAACTACACTGACATGATCTTATGATGCAAGACATACACACATGTTTCTGCTTCCATAGTTCCACTATCTTAAAGGATCTGCAGGCACATTACTGTTAGTAAAAAGGCAAAAAGGCACCAACCAACTTCCAGGTATAATGGAACTGATAGTAAGCTGGAGAATGCAAGCCATGTGCACAACAGGAACAATTTCCAGCTGTAAGAGGCACAGTGAAGGTTACTATGCGATGCAGGTATTTATTTTGTCCTTAGACAAGTGATCAAATGTGCTTCCCCGAAAAATCCTTAGAAAGATATTTCCCAGGTATTTTGGGAATTCCTCAATTGACGAAAGACTGACAGTTGCAACTCCAAAACTTGCTGTCTTCATTGTACGTAGAAGTCACTTCTGTGACACATCCAAAGTGTCCCAGTCACATGACTCAAAGTGAATACTCATCTGAGTATGGTGAGCTCACAATCTCAACATGTAAGAAAGTGGTAAAGAAAACTGCTACAAGATGTAGCTGGTAGTGAATCACTAAGGCTAGAAGTACTGAAGCCGAAAGCAGAAAAACGTTCATGTTCAGAAGGTCTAGAAAGAAACACAAAGTAAAGCCCATCTATTTTCCCTTTCAATTAGATAGGATAGTTTCTTCCTTGTAGTTATACAAAAACAATCACAGCAACAGAAAACCCAGACTGTGCATTTTAAACTTGCCTGATCTACATAGAAAGAGGCCCTTAGAAAATGAAGTTTTCTATTTATTCCCAAGGAAACCATGATAGTCAGGACAATTGCAACATGGAAAGAGAGGGGCACCAGAGACAGCATCTTTAAAGGCTGATTTAGTTCCCCATAGTTGGCATAACCACAGCAGGCTTGGTAACAGTGGCATCTTCCTCTTTCCATTGAGAAATGATAGTTTTCAGCTGTGTGTAGAACTGCACTCCCTGGGGGAAAGAGATGCAAAGATCAGATATTTGGCCTTAGGAATTCTTCATATCTGTGCCACAGGTGTAGCAAGCAGTTGTTTGCCATATCTACAGTGCACTGTGTTTGCCTACATGGGAACAATTCCTGTCAACTTATTCCTTTCAACAGTTCCCCAAAGATTCTGGCCCTATGGGAAAGCTTGCTATTTTAGTTCTTGCTCCCTTCTCAAATCTCCCCCCAGTAAGGGGAGATCTGATGACTATTTTCCCATTGCCACTGCTAACGTGATTTTCCTCAGATCAACCTAAGAAAGTAATCTGAAATTTGGCAAGTTACCTGTTTGCCATAGAAATTTGTATCTCCTCTGAAAGAAGCACGAGAACCAGTGAAAGAGAACATGGGCAGAGGTACTGGAATTGGAACATTGACACCCACCTAAAGCAAAAGATAGCCACCATATTACACACAAGATAAAAAAACAGCAGATTGCAGAGCACTCTCCAAAATATTCTGTATCTCTTAATCTGAAGCTGGGCAGTGTTGGCTGAGTAGTCAGCGATTAGTTGCTGTAGCTGGATGGCTATTTACCACAAATGGTGAGTGAGTATCAATAGCAATAATTCTGGCTTGAACATACCTGCCCCACATCTACTAAGTGAGAATACTTCCGAGCTGTGGCTCCATTGGTGGTGAAGATTGCAGTTCCATTTCCATAGGGGTTATTGTTCACCATCTCAATTGCATCATCCAAAGTGTCTGCTTCCAGAACCACTAAGACAGGTCCAAAGATTTCCTCCTTGTAACAAGTCATGTTTGGCTGCCAAGACAAACAACAGAAAAAGCAGACTGGATATTGAATATAATAAATAGGATATAATATATCAAATATCCTAGGGAAGAGGATATAAACACATCAAGTGCTCAAGCTCAGGGTATCCCTAGAATCACCCATCATATTCCATTGCCTTCAGTCCTGGTTGTCATTCCACTGTTTCCCATGCCCTGCCACCTATCTACTAAGGAGGGTACAACTTGTAATTGCTAAAGTACTTTCTGCTTTTACTGCCTGCCTAACATGAGTTACAGGTCTACTCTTTGCTCAAAGCTGATTAAAGCCAGGATTAATTCAGGATAGTTTACTTCATATCTTGCTGATAACCTGCAGTTCTCTGAAACTGAGTGCCCAGGACTTATGCTTGATAATAAGCAGTATCTGACAAACACAGAAGTACCAGTTAGAAATTACTTCAATCATTAATAACTAACACAACAAACTACAAAATAGGCACCTGACAGGCAAGCTGTATGTGGTTAATATTGAACTATTAATATTGACCATATATGAAGAACTACAAATAAAAAACACTCAGTGAAACTTTTACTTCTGAATACTATTTACAATGCACTAAAGGAAAGTGAAACATTTTAAGATTTTTAATGAAAACAGTGCAGGAAAACTATGAAACAGATTAAAAGCTGGAAATATATAAACAGCATTTAATCCATAAAATCATAGGAATACAACAATAGCAGAACTATCAAGACTGGTATGCCACGTTGGAATCACACCAGAGGGCCCAAAATGAATCTAATACTTAAACAGTAATTAACTAATACAGCTGATGGCATAAACATTAAAAAGGAGAATTTAGATATGAAAACTGACTTGAGATGTGTGCCTGGTAAAAAAAAATATTCTCCCATAGAGAATGCTGTGCATTATATTGATATCTATAAATAGGAAGGTGCAAAGTGTAGGAATGCATAATGGGCAGACAGGAAAATTTCATGTTTGGCTGTTAGTCATAATCTTCTTTAGGCATCTGCCGCTGGCCATTGCTACAGAAAGTACACAATGCTCAGTGGACATTTAATTTGACACTGTACAAACTGTCCATGTGTTCTTCCAATTGGCTACATTAAAAAAAAGTTAAGATTATTAACTTTATTCATATCAGTAATTTTATTAATATTGTTCTGTCCCTGGGAATTCTTTCATCACCTCCACAGCAACATTACACAACCAGCACTTCATTGGAATTGTGCAAGGGAAAACTGAGTTATTTATGAGATTTCTATGTGGTGAATCCTGAATACTGACCAATTTGGCTGACTCATTTTTCAAATGATCCTGCAACATACAGCATCAAGCAGTTTTTGTTAAGTCACCTTGACATTGGCAAGGATCGTTGGTCCAACAAAATTGCCGTTTTCATAGCCCTTCACTTTGATATTACGTCCATCCAGAAGAAGACTGGCACCTTCTTCTACTCCCTTCTGAATCAGGTGGCAAACCCTTTGCTTGGCCTGGGGACTGATTAGAGGCCCTAGGTCTGCTCCAGGCTGGTCTCCTGCAGAGAGGCAGAGATGCAAAGTTTTTAACTGTTCCTCTTAGGCATAATGAAGGTAACTACATTAGCAGGAAAAAAATAGGAAAATTCTGATGTTTCTGAGACACGGAGCAAAGATTTGTACCATTAAGAAACATAATCAACAAACAAGAGAAGTCATAAGCATAGTTTTAATCACTGGGAAGAAAACTTTTCCTCCATGCAAGACTTTATTTGAAACAAATGAAAAGCAGGAGAATTCTAATATCAATCTCAAAAGTACTTGTTTCCATTTTTCCCTCTTACTGTATGCTTACTACAAATTGGAAGGACCTGTAAGTGAGATTGCTATGTAAAATGTTTGTGTTCTATATGGGACATAATCTCAAAGTTCCAGTTAAAAACAAACCTGTAAATCTTGCAGCACGGTTGTACTGCCATTCCTTCCTAAATATTCCTAACTCCAAGTCTAGGACTCTGTGTCCCAATCCAGACAATCTGCTAGCTCCCATCCTTATGGATCAAGCCTACAGAGCCAGCAGCTCCAACAGACACACTACAATATGGCAGACACACCAACCTAAAAAGCCACAGTTCTACAGAAGCAAAGTAGCTGGTAAGAAATTATCAGGATCTGTACCTGCATTTACACGTAGATTTTTGGCTCTTTCCACCAACTCTGGCAACCATTTCTGTGCTTCTCCCACTAAAATTGCTGTAGACAGGGCCATACAGCGTTGGCCAGCTGCTCCAAAGGCAGCTCCAACCAGCTGGTTCAAGGTGTTCTCTTTATTGGCATCTGGCATCACCACACCATGGTTCTTTGCTCCCTAAAATACAAAACACATACAGACTCCATTAACCAGCCCCGCTCATTTCTCTAGCGCTCGGTAATAACATGGTGTAGTAGTTATGACTTTGCTGCCTACAGGATGGCAAGAAGGTCAGCCTCAGCGAGTAATTATCAGTCACAAAGTCAGTGTCTGCTGCAGAACAGTGTGGTCTGTTCAAGCACGTACAGATAGAGGAAGTCTGTCTGTGTGGTGCTGCATGCTGTGCTGAGTGGCATTACCATGTTAGCCTGGACTCTCTTGCCATTCCGGGATCCTCTTTCGTAGATGTACTCGCCAGCCTGATTAGATCCCACAAAGCTGATAGCTCTGATATCCGGATGGTCACAAATGAAGTTCACAGCTTCAAATAGGAAATAATACATTATACACTGCAGTATAAAATGCTTCCCCCTGCCCTCATCCCCATGCTGCTAATCTATGCACCTTTCTTCTCGTTAGAATCCTTGCATGTCTCCAATATTTGAGTTCTCCTGCTGCCTGCTCATGCGTCTCTCCACTCTAACTTCTCAGCATGTGAGCTCTGCCCCAGGGCTCATACAACAGGATTTCTGCTGGCTTTTCATGCACTGAGCCCCAAGTACTCGAAACACGGGCCCGCCAGTCAAATCTCAGGAGCTCTGCACATATATGATAGGGGCTAAGACAGAGGTCTTTCCAAACCTCTCTAACAGCAGCAGGATCAGATGCTCAAACAGCTCTAACACCCCCACTAAGCACACACCACAACGCATACATACTCCAATCCAACAAGAGCTATTATTACCTTCATGCTGTCCATGGATGATATTCAGAGTCCCGTCTGGGGCACCAGCATCCTGAAACAGCTTGGCAAGGAACATGAGTGCACCTGGCACACGCTCAGAAGGTTTCATCAAGAATGTGTTTCCACAAACCATAGCCATGGGAAACATCCAGAGAGGAATCATCGCTGGGAAATTGAACGGTGCAATGCCAGCACACACACCCAAGGGCAGACGGTAGGTGCAAGTGTCCATGTCTTTAGTGATGGAGGGCATGGTCTCTCCCAGTATGAGAGATGTCACACTGCAAGCGTGTTCAACCACCTCTGCAGCAGAAAGGGCAACATGCCACTGGGTGATCTGATAACGGTCACTCCCCATACTCCCTTCTCAGCACTACCTTGACCCAAGTCCTTCTTCCAGCCACGACTTAAAACTCATTGTGCTCCAGAAAATCCCTCTGCTCTCCCAAGCACTGTGAGCTCACTGTGAATGGATTCTCTCCTGAGTACGCTATACAGCACTGTGATAGTAGCACAGATTCAACAGCCCCAGTAAAAGTAGTACAGATGTAGTTTTAATGTACCAGCTGGGATTCAACCTCAGACATTTCAGCACAAGTGAGAAGTTCCTATCTCTTTGCAGCATTCAGTACTCACTCCTAGGAAAAAAAAGGATCAAACAACTTGGAAGTGACTTAAGAACTCTACCTAAGGGAACTTCTCAAGTTGGAGTTACAACTGCCCTTCTTTTTCAGAAGGAAGTTATGAGGGGAGCTAGATGTACAAACTCCAAGAGCAAACAGTTGCTCAGGAGAATTCCTCCCTTCCTGTGGGTTCTGAAAGCCCCTTTTGTAACAGACGGAGCCAGCAGCTTACGGAGGCCTCGGAACACATCTCCCTCAGCGTCAGCCAGGGTCTTCCCTTGCTCAAAGGTGATGAGTTTTGAAATTTCCTTCTGAAAATGGAAAACACAAAGTTTATGAATGTTAGGGAAATGCCTGCCCATGAAGAAGGGCTCAGGGATAAGTTTAACATCTGCTGAACATTACAGTCTGAATAGATTCTGGGAAAGCCGACAAGGGCTGCACAAGAAGTCAATGAGCTACACAAGCGATATTGAAAAAAAAACACCAAAACCAACAAACAACTGTGGGCTGGTTTATATTCTATTGCTTTCATGTGTCACAACACAGACACAGAAAAACCTGGGGAATCCAAAAATACACTTCTCTCACTTGTCTTTGTCAACTGGCACATTCTCCACCAAGCTCCTCCTGTGGTATTTTGGTAAAAGAAACAAATGCAGAATAATATTCCCTAAGAAGTACTGCTTCTGTGTCTGCTTCGGCCTGGAGAGTGCTTTGCTACCTCTCAGTGATGGTGACTCTGTCAGCTCCTCACTTACGGCAACAACACCTTAACAACAACTCAGTTAATGATTAAGTCTCTCAATTTCGTTCACAGTCAGCTGCAATGCATTCAGCAACAGCCATCACACACAGCCGCAGTGTCTCACCAGATTGTCTTTGATGAGCTGTTGGTAACGCAGGAAGATTTGCTGGCGACTCAAAATAGATGTTTCTGACCAGTTCCAAAAAGCCTTTTTGCAAGAAGTTACAGCTGCCTCCATTTCACTAGTTGTAGCTTTGGGTACACGAGCAACTACTTCATTTGTGGCCTGATGGAAAGAAACAAATTGTATCAAAACTCAATTTTTTCCAGCTGTCCTTGCCGACCATTCAACAGTCCTTGCAAACCACACACTTAATACCTTTATTCTAAAAGAAGCTGTACTTCTCAGGGGGAAACAGAAAAGAGACTGCTCTCTTAGTGCACACCGAGAGGCCTGGACCACAGCTGGAATTCTATGCATTTTGTAGTTCTGAAAATCTTCAGTCTACACTTCTCAAATCAGGCACACAGAAAAGTGTAAATGCAGTACTGGTTTCCAAGTGGGAATTTCATTGACTTGTCTGACACATTTTGCAATTTATCAGGACTTCACATTCAGCTGGCATCAAATTATATCAGGCTGCATACATGCAGGATGAAAGGAAGCTTTCTGGAATTTTGACATCGCCTTCACAGAGCCTTTCTATGTGAAAAATAGTTAAGAAGGATTTCAGCATTCCCTCTAGAGATCAGGGGTTTACTACATAGGGAGATAAAAGAGGTCATTACTTCCCTAAGACTGACAGTGAACATGAAGAGGAAACTGCAAAGCAATTACACAATGCTAAATCCATCTTAAGCTCCAACTCTAAGCTTTCTCCAGAAGCACACACACTTCACATACTTCCCCCTTTCACCAAGTGATTCAAGGAAATCACAGCACCCTCTTGCAAACCAACTGTGGGTATATGAGCAGAAGCCATTTCACTTACTGGGTTGTGGATATCGATCCATTCTGTGGTCTTGGACTCGACAAACTTCCCATCGATGAACAGTTTGGTTGTTGGCTGTGGAAGACAGGACAGTGAGTGATCTTTGCCTGAAGGTGCACACATAACAATGTGCCCTATTATGTGCAAGCTTTTGTCATTTATTCCTGTACTCCATTTTTTCCCTCAATTTAGACTAAAATTGTTAAAACCCTGTCTAAAAACGATTACAGAAGATATACATTGCTAGAATTATGTTCAGAACTATTTTAATCTACTCAGTCACTACAATTACTAAGTCACAAAAACCCTGCAGTTCCTAAACGTATTAAAAAAACAAACATTAATAATTCACTTTGTAAGAATTCTGCTCACTTGGTGCAAACTGCGCTACACTTCCTTCCCATCAAGTCACTAAGCTGGTTCATCTCCCAGCTCATAGCTGTAGGCACAGTGCTGTCCTGTTCCTGCTTCCCAAGTGGTTTTGCAGCCAAGAGCAGGGAACCTGTTGCTGCTGAGCTCACAGCTATGGTCACGGCAGGCAGCACAGAGGGCACAGCTTTTCAGTACAGATGCAGAAGAAACAAAAATGAAAGTTTTGGTTAAGGAGCTCAGGTAAGTATGGAGAAGAAAAAGCAGGGGTAGAAGATGCAGTTAGTGCTGTAGCATGCAGGAAAAACTGGGGCCGCACAAGTGAAGAGACTGGAAACTAGTAACTGATATTGAGAGGTAATGAAGAAACCTGGAGAAAGTGAGAAACGCTTCATGCTGCCACAGAACATTCACTTGGGGAGAATGGATAGGAAGAAGAGGAAACAGAGATGCGGAGTGAAGAACAGGGATGGTACACAGGTCTTAGAAATGAGGATAAAACCATGTATATCAGGAAGCTGTGTGAAGAGAATTGGGACATGGAGTTATGAGAGGGCGATCACAGAATCATTAAGGTTACAAAAGACCTCGAAGATCATCTAGCCCAACCATCAACCCATCACCATCATGCCCACTAACCATGTTCCTCAGTGCCACATCAACACAAATCTTGAACACCTTCAAGGATGGTGACTCCACCACCTTCCCTGGGTAGCCCAGTCTATTCCAGTGGCTCACCACTCTTTCCAAGAATATGTTTCCTAATTCACAACCTAAGCCTCCTCTGGCACAACTTGAGGCCATTCCCTCCCAGCCCAAAACTGAACATAGTATTGAGATCCCAAGTACAGGAGGACGATCCCTCCCCTGCTGACTGCACTATTTCTGATATAAGCCAGGATACCATTGGCCTTTTTGGCTAGCTGAGCACACTGCTGGCTCATGTTCAGCTGGCTGTCAGTATCTAACACCCCCAGATCCTTTTCGTCTGCAAAGTCTTCTAGCTACTTGATCCCAAGCCCGTAGTGTCACATGGAGTGCACCAAAGTGCAGGACGAGACACTTGGTCTCATTAAAGCTCACACAATTGACCTCAGCCCATTGATCTAACCTGTCCAGATCCCTCTGTAAGGCCTTCTTATTCTCAGGCAGATTGACGCTTCCTCCCACCGTGGTGTCATCTGCAAATTTACTGAGGGTGCACTAAATTTCCATGTCCAGATCATCAATAAAGATGAATAAATCAGGATAATTCACTCTCTGAGTCTGCCCCCCCAGCCAGTTCTTTACTTAGCAAAGAGTGTACTTGTGCAAGCCATGGGCTGCCACCTTCTCCAGGAAGATACTATGGGAGAAAGTGCCAAAGGCTTTGCTGAATCTAGGTAGACTTTGTCGACACCCTTTCCCTCATCCACCAGGCAGGTCACCTGGTGAGGGCAATGAGGACAGGGATGCTCACGCTGGTGTGATGGTGGGAGAGAGATCAGAGGACAAATCAGGAAAATAAATGGGGCTGACTTGGACAGGTCATGGCAGTGAAAAGTGGAGGAGTGAAAAAGGAAGAGAACGGCAAGGGCTGAGACACTGTCAGTGAGCAGGGCTGAAGTGAGATGTCTGACCTAATGCCGGTAATGGATGAGCGAGGCCTTGGCTTGCGAAGGAATACCGCGGTGGGTTAAAATAAGAATAAAACGTTACAAGTGCTGATGTGGCTGACATTACAGCGGGGCAAGCGGAGCCTCGGACTGCGTTTGGGAGAAGACCATCTCCTCCAGAACTAAAGGAAGTGCAGGAAACCCGAGCTCCTCCCAGCCCGGCAGAACCTCGGTGAACTACCCAACCGCAGCCCCACCGCCCCGCAGCCTCACCGCCCCGCCGCAGGCCCCCCTCCCGCCCGCCTGCAGGAGCGCTTCTCCCAGCTGCACTTCTGCCCCGGGGAGCCGCCCGGCGCCACTCACCACAGAGGAGGAGGCGGCGGCCGAAGCGATCCAGGGAACACCGGTTCTCGGCGGCAGCTGGATGGGGGACACAAAGCAGTCCGGTTACGCGGGGCTCGCCGCCGCCCCCAGATCCCCTACTTCCCCCCCGGGGTGCCATCCTTGGCCCCGCCTGCAGTTCTCGGTGGCCGCCGCCTCACCCTGAGCGCTACGTGTCGCCGCCCGCCCCAAACGCTACGCGCCGCCGCCGCCGCCGCCATCCCGGCCGAGGGTCGCTGCGCCGCGGACCCCGAACAGCGCCCCTCGCCACACCTCCTGCCTGCCCGAAGGCCCGCCTCCGCCCGCTCATTGGTCAGACGAGTGCCCTCCTCGCCCGCTGCACGCCGCCTCCGGAGGGGCCTTGCCGGCCGCCAGCCAATCGCCAGCCAATGCCGCCGAGGGAGAGCCTCACCCCGCCCCCTCTCGCCACCGCCCCCCCCTCCGGGGCAGCGATTGGCCACGAGAACTGAGGCGCACTGGCTCGGCTCTGTGGTCACACGGGTGGATTCCCGCGGGTGGCGGGTTAGATCACGTGACGCGCGCAAGATGGCGGCTCCCGGGGACGGTAAGGCGCGCGGATGGGATTATCGTCACCCTGCGGTGTGGTCTGGCCGTGCGCCGCTTCACCTCTGCTCCGCTCCCTGTATTGTAGGTGCCGATCTGGAAGCCTCACTGCTGAGTTTTGAGAAGCTTGACCGGGCTTCTCCGGATCTGTGGCCTGAGCAGTGTGAGTGCGGCCGGCCCGTGCGAGTGGGGTGATGGCGGGGCTGCCGGCCCGGCCCCGCGCTCACCCGGCGCTGTTCGCTTCTCTTTTCCAGTGCCCGGCGTCGCCGAGTTCGCCGCCTCCTTCAAAAGCGTAAGCTGTCCCTACTTCGTGCTGCGTGGCTCTTACTGTGACTGCGACTTGTCACAGCTCGGGAGAAAGGCACTGCCCTGAACCTTGGGGAATGCTGCTCTTGCTGCTGGCTTCAGCTGGTGTTTTACTGTAACTCCCGACTTGCTTAGGGAGAGCTAGAAAATAGAAATAGGCATTAGAGTATCCCTGTAGGGTACCTGGAGCCAGTTATCCTGTCAGTGTAACTAGTTGTAAATGTTAGATCAGGCTTTGTATGCTGCTAAAAATGTACTTATCTGAGCATGCTTTGCCTTTTGTCTTTTTTTTATTTTTTCTCTCCCTAAACCAGCCTATTACAAACTCACCTCCCAAATGGATGGCTGAACTGGAAAATGATGATATCGATATGTTAAAGGGTGAGTATGAGCACCATAGGTAGCAAGGTTGGCTGTGGATGGAAATTCAGTGCCTAATGAGCTCGGAGGCCTTCTGAAGCCTTCTGCAAGTGAAGGGATGGGGGATGCTCCTCTTATTCTGTTCAGTGCTTCCAGGATTTTGTCCTGGTTGCCCAACCATTTTATGCTAATTTTACTTTTTTATCATGCTATTAATTTGCTTCAATTCTGAAGGCAGGAGGCTCCTGTTAGTGACTCCCATAGCCTCAGGCCTCTTGTCCTTACATCTGCAAAATCAGAATCTCCAGCTGAATGATTCTGCTTAGGAGTCTTTGTCTTGTTCATTACTTATATTTTAGTTAGTCCTATCATCTGCAAGAATATATCTTGATTACAAATGCAGTTGTTCTCCATGTTACTGCTTTTTGAACCAGTAAATCCCTGGTTTATTTTTCCTTTTTTTTTTTTTTTTTTTTTTTTTTTTGCTTGCCATTCCTGCTTTGGAATGGTTGGAATGTCTTGCTGGTTTTTATGAGCTGTGAGAAGAATATATGCTGTACACTGTAAACAGTGTTGAAAGTGTGACTTGAATGCTCTGTGAAGTGGTAAGCATATAAACTGCCACTAGAGGGCTACAGACAGTGTTAAAAATCACACTTTTTCTTCTTAGAGCTGGGAAGTCTCACTATAGCTAACCTGATGGAGAAGGTTCGTGGCCTGCAGAACTTGGCTTATCAGCTGGGACTGGATGAATGTGAGTTTTGTGCACAGATGTGACCACTGTTATAAATCTTGCCACTGAAGTGTGTGTTTGTGTTGCACTTACAGTCAGAAAAGTACATTTAGAGATGTGGGAAGTGGCACACAATTATGACAGAGCAGTAGAGAATTTTCTGAAGAAGAAAAGAGTGCTTCGCTAGGCAAGTCTGTCATGGTTGCAGTGAAGCCTAATAGAGCACAATTAAAAGAATTTCTTATTTTAGATTTTTTTTTTCCCTGTTTTGTATGTTAAGGTCTGGTTTTTCTAGTGGCCCATAAATTTCTGACTTAGGTTTGGCGAAGGTAAATCACTGGTTTTGCTCCTTAGGTGCTAACACTCTTTATCAGAGTATCTGTGCCAGCACTTCCGTGAAACCTTTTGTACTGCCTATAGAGTAAAAATTTAACTGGTGTGAAGGATTCTGTTAGCCATTAGTGCTCTTGCAGCTTTTGGCCTCTCAGTTATTTTTCTCCATAGTCAGCAATAGCAGGAGGTACTGTGGCTGCATTCTGAAGTTGACCTTCATCCCACTTACAACAACCAGTTCATGTCTGTGCCTTTTTTAAGGAGGAGGAAAAAAGATGCCTTTTTTTGTCATCATTGCATTTAGGATTTTGCTGTCAATGTGGTGATCCAGCTTTGAAGATTCCAAAGGGATTGTGTTTCCTTTAAACAGTACCTGTGCATATTGATGCAATTAATTTTTTCTTCTTTATTTTGCTTTGTCATAGACTTCAGTTACAGCTAACTCTTGGGCTTTACATGTAGCTTTGAATGTTTTTAGACTTAAAGATTTTTCAGCTTCATTTCAGTGGGTAACAAAAAATGGGTTAAACTTTAAAGTCTCATGATAGTAAGCCTGGAATACCCAAATGCTTTCTTATCAATAGGTCATTAAGCCTGTCTGAATACATTCTCCATAGGTAGAAATTTACTTTCAGTGCTAACATCTACAAAGATTGAATAAGGCTTTTAGTGGAGTAGAAGTTATACTTTAACAATGGAAATCTTAATCAAATAATAAGATTGGCAGATGATTGTCCTTCTCAATTAAGCTGTAGGTTTACATGTCAAGCAGCTTTGGTGTGCTAAATAGAGTTTAAGCAGAACTCAAGAGAGCAAAAAAAGATTATCAACTTTTTGTTGTGTTTATTTCTGTTTATTTTTACTGGAAAGAAATATGAAAAGAAGACCAAGTAAGAAAATAGAAGATCTGAGATTTGAGAGTGATATCCATTAGTGTGTAGCAATTGAAATATTAAATTTCCAAGGTATATATAACCTCTCATCATATTTGTAACACATCGAATGCTTTGTATGTCATGACGTATACGTTTATGTTGGGAAATCTTTCACATATAAGGAAATGCTGAGTTTGAACATGGGCTCTCAGGACTATTTCTATCAGTACTATCATTTTCTCTTGTAGACTTAGGTTAGTAAGAGAACAAGAAGAAAAATCCAGGAGATCTGCTCGTTAAAGTTAAAGAGCTTGTGGTTTTGTTTCAGTGGTATATGATTTGATTTTGCCTTTTTGGATTGAAACTTAGTATTTCACATTTTACATAGTGATGATCAAAACTGCTTACCAAAAACAGAATTAAGAAACCCTGCTGATTGCCCTCCTCTAGATGGCAGCATGAAGCTTCTGATAGTGGTCCTGAGACTTCAAAAATATTGTGCAGTCTGTCATGATTTGAAGTTCTTCTCAAGAGTTACTTTGACACTTTGTGTTCTAAATTTGCACTGTCCTTTTGACAATATTTTCTTGTCTTCCCTGTACTGTGTGAGAAACAATTCTGCTTCATTGTGTCAGTATTTTATTTACTTTACTTTCCAGTGCCACCTTCTACATTCCAATTCCTTTGTATTTTCAAAGGCTTTTGTTTTTGTCTGAGTTACTGGTAAAAATGCTGCCTGGACCATGATGATTCCTGCAGTGCTCCATGACAAAAATGCCTGTTTATTGACTTTGTAATTATGTTGTGAGATCTGTTACTGAACCAGTTCATGGCACTCTTCACGTTAATTTTGTATGATGATTCATTTGGTTAAAGGAAGTGTGGGACTGAATACATCTGTAAAGTTTATCAAGGCAGGATTCCGGCACTTAAAATTACATTTTGTCAAATCTATTGCTCAGATTTCAGTTTGGTTAAATTAATCATTACTGAATTATATGCCTTCTTAAATTCATATGAGCTTCTTTCTAGTTTGCCTGGGCTCAATGGAAGGGTGATATACTCCTAAACTCTTGGGTTATTCTACCAGTTCTTTTAAAATGCTAGCGCTATGCTAGCTGTCTTCAGTGTCTGAGAGCATCTTGTGTGGCCCAAGTGTGCACACATACTGCCTGTTTGTAAAGTATTGCTGATGCTGGAATAACTATCAGCCTGCTGTGCTGTCGGAGGGTAGATTTGATGATACCACCAGTGCAAGACTTTCTTCAAAGCCAGATTCTTTTTAAGGTCTGATGTATCTGGGAAGGTAATGGTACTTGTTTACATTATCTATCTTCGGTACTAGAAAACTCAGAATAACTGACCTTACGAATATGAATACTGTTTATAATTTCCCTGTCTGCAGTGCTAGTCTTCTCTTTTGGGTTAGATTATATTTCTGTTTGGAGCTGAAGCTGTTTTGTGCTCTTCTTCCTGTAAAATTAGGAATGTATAATGACTGCATTGTCCAATCTCAAATCCTCGTACTTCAAGAGCAATGAGATTGTTACTGGGCATGCTCAACCAAGTATCCCTCTTAGTTTTGTGTGCCCTGGCTTTCACTGGAATCCAGGAAGTTTTCTCCCATTTCCTTTTCTGTAGCACCAATTTCTTTTCCATATATGTTCAGCATGGTCAAGCAAATTAAATAGCTATCCTATAGTGGAGGAGCTGCTTGATGCTAACTGAGGGGCCAAGAATTAGCCTTGGGTGAGGTGGGCATGTCAGGTGAACAACGAGGGTGTCAGTCTTGAAGCACCATTGATAAAGGAGAAGTCAGCCAGGATGTAGTCAGAATTAGTGATAGTTTTCATTAATGTGAAAAATGAATAAATAAGTTAGGAGGTTTTTTTTGCCTGAATAGACAACTGTGCCATGTGTGGAAAAATGTCTGTAGAACTGATGAATGCAGAGGGTGCACGTATGGGGAGCAGCTCTTCGCTGTTTCTCTAAGTATGGGGGCCAGTGAGAATCAGTGGTGTGTCAGGACAAAAGCAAGGTGGAACTTGCAATGTGTCTTAAAGGCAGAGGTTGTGAGTACAAAGTTACCTTTGAATTGATGAGACAAATTGCTGAATGATAAATCCTTCTAACAAAGAGGTCAAAAACAGAGGGCAAAAAGCTGAAAGATTAGTAGGCAAACTGGGCTGTGTCCTTGTCTTATGCTCCTCTATAGGTATTTGCCTTTGGCCTGTTGGCAATGAAATGGGGGAGTGGAAGGAAGGTATTGAATTGGGGTTGTTGTTGTTGTTTTTTATAATAGTCAGGACTGTAACACAAGGTAATTTAGCAACTGTTGCCAGAAATCACTGAAGTGTTCCTGTAAGGGAGAGAACTTTTAAGAGGCAAAAAGAGACAGATAGAGATGGGGATGAGGAGTTAAGCTGTCCTTAGTTGTGAATTATAGTTCTCTGCAGTCTCAGAAGCCTCTGAAGTTTATGCAGAGTAAAGGGGCTCATTCTAAATGCCCAGCTAGTTACAGATTGCCATTCTTTTCTGGTCATCTTGAGTTTTTCATTTTTCTCAGGTAAATGCTGTGTGTGCCTGGAAGTTCAACTTTGTTGTAGGTTGAAGAAAAAGAACAATTCTGTCTTTTCTTCTTTCCTTGGGCGGAGTTTTAACTGTGGCATGTTTTTGAAACATTTACTTAGTTCTATTTGTTATCCTTGCATCCTTCTCTTGACAAGGACAATTTCAAAGTTTTTTGTTTTTTTTTTTTTTCTTACTACTGATCACAGGTAGGAGCGTAGATCTCCATCTTTTGTAGATTGAGCTTGTGTTATATTTTAAGCTTTAAAAAACAAAGCATGACATTTTATTTGCAGTTAAGTTGAACTTTGTGTAAGCTGCTGAATTGGAATGGAATTGGGGAAAGAAATGAGGATCATTTGTTGTCTTACTGAATCTCGTCTTTCGTTTTCTGTAATGAGTTATCTTTCTTAGGAGTGCCTTTGTGTAGTGTCAACATACATTGCCTGTGGGCTCCAAGCAGAATTAGAGGCCTGTGTACCCAAGTGGGCTTATAATGTTAATTATATAATTGATCAGATTAAAAAAAAGGAAGTAATGACCATAACTGCTCTTTATTTAGTCCTGATTTAATTAACACAGAGGCTTTCTAAGCTCAGAAGTCTGACTATACCTTTGCAAAGGGAGCTGGTTTCTCACAGTTTCTTGTTAACCAAAATGAGGTTTTGGGAACCTATTTAGAAAGCAGACTCTTTGCTGAATATGACTATTTCCTGGCAGAAGTAAGACTACTTAAAGTACTCATGGTGGTTGAGAAGGAAACTGTTACAGAAATAAGAAGCAAAGTGAAGGAGGTTTCCATGCTGTGGATCCAAGTCTGGATCCTGTAAGACTTGGAGACCTTGGTGCTTGTGATTAGAAAGATACAGCAGTGTTCTTAGCATCTTGACTACTGACAAGAGTAAGGAGGGTGCTTGCTGCTTCTTTGTTAAAAGCCAGCACCTGCAGACGTGTGGAGCTTCTAGCACTAATGTGTCTATATTTACCTAAAACACGAAGGAAGAAAATGTGCTCTGGAATCGTTTATATTATTCTAAATATGTTGGACTTAGAATATTTTATGCCAAGTCTAATGCTCATTATGGTCTTAAACTTAAAAATACACTATATTAAATACACTGCAGTGAGGTGGGCTGTCTTGCCTAGGAAGGAAACAGTTTGAGATGCATGTGCTTCAGCATGCCTCCATATCATATGTCTGCCCTGTTCAGAATTTTCTTTGTAGCAACTGTTTTTCTTTCTGTTCCTTTACATTTTCCTGCCTTGCTGAATGAATTTTCATTACATTTCAGCTTTGCCTGGAAGCATATTTCTCTCTTATTTTGTTATTTAGTACCGCGTTTGCAAAGACTTTGAAATAGTATACACTGTGCTTCAAGGCTTGAAGGCAGAGTTTTATAGCTGGACAACAAAATTATGCTCTTTGGACACTGGATTTCTTTAATATGCGGTTAGTATAAGGATTTACTTCGTTGAATTAGTGGACTTCTTCCAGAAAATGTCTCACATTATGGATAGTTCATTTGTGGGTTAGGAAATGATCAGAGAGGTTTTTTTCAGGAGCTGCATTATCAATTGAAATGCTAATGCTTGCTTTTGTTTTCCTTACCTGTTATGGGCTTCCTGGAAAAGTACAAAGTTAATACAGGCGATTTCTGATTTACATTCATAGTAACTCTCTACCATTATTTGGTTGTTTCAGAAAAGTGAAAGGAATGCTTGTGATCTGTTAGGGTATTTATACAGCCCCTGTCACTGTGATGTCCAAGCTGCCATGATTTTCACATGAAACCTTGGCCTTTCTCCTGGTTGTCTCTATTCACTCCTCCCATGCTGTAGATCTGCTTCATTTTAAGGCAGGGTGATATGGTAAGAGGTGTACTTTGCATCTGCAGAGGGATGAGGAAATCACATTCTCTTACACTGCTCACTGGGTTGTTTATTTACTGACAGGATTCATTCTGGGTGGAAGAGTGAGGCATCAGAATGCCAGCCTGAAATTGGCATTCAAACATGATCTGTGAATTGGCTAATTTTGACATGTAGGTAGTTAAGAAATGATTACAGTCGGAGGAGTCGTGACCTCAACTTTCCATCATCTCCATTGGCTTGTACCCCAGTTTGGAAGTGAAGAAGGAATAGGAAGTTTTAATTGTACCTGTGTGATTTATCCTCAGTCAGCTCTTTAATTTCTTCTGGCTGTCTGAGGCTTCCGACACGTTGTAAATTTCTCCAACTTTTTCATTATCTGCAATTTCTTTATGACTCATGAATCGGAGTGGAGAGAGAGTGTGGATTTACAGCAGAGATAAACATGTCCATAAAGTCTGTATCTGTGTCAGTAATTGTACTGCTGTCAGTGACTGTCCTGTTTTACAGGTCTCTCTTGGGAGAGGAGCGCGCTTTGCTACCAGTGTCAGAGAAACGTTCGCTTTGATTTGCATTAACTTGCTAGGAGATTGGGTTGCAATGGTGAGGATGGAAATTGGGTCTGGACCTCGGCTGCTGTTGTTTATTGTAAATAAGTGGGTGTGTGGTTGCTCTACGTGCAGAAAAAATGGTTGGTCAAAAGTGTTCCTAAATACAAAATTAGGGAGACATGCTCTAATGATATAAAATATATTAACCATGTGCATAAATTATGCATTTTTAGCATAAAACAATGCTGTATCCAGGTAACTGTTCTGTTGTTTAAAAAAAAAAAAAAAAAAAAAAAATGGAAAAATGCTATATGGATTGTTAGGGATTGAGATATAAGGTCTGTCTGCTTGCAAAGTAGAAACAGTGTTTCTGAAGGTTTCAGAAATGTTTGCATCTCAGCCTTTCTCTCTGTCCCTAACTCTAAGGGGAAAGTGCTGTTGTAGATTTCAGTGGAGAGTACTAATATAGCATTCTAATCTTCAGGCATTGATGTCTCTGCTTGCTGCAGAAGGAGGTATATACTATCAGAGTTGGCAAAGGAGAAAATCCTGGAACTCTCTTAAATGTGTCAGAAGTTCAAACTCCTGTAATTTCTCTCTGCAGTTATTTCGTTTGCCTGTTGTTGACACTTTTATCAGTATGTTCTCTGCATGCTATGTATGCAGAATCATTTGTTAATTATATATTTCAGGTTGGATTATTTGTCTATGATTTTTAGTGTACTAAAAAGTTCAGTAAATGTTTTCTTTCCATGGCATTTTTAAATAATTAAAGTAACTGTGAAAGTCAAACTTTCATCAAAAGCCCTGGATGCAGCTTATTGAAGTTTTTCTAAGTCGTTTGGGCATCTTTTGTGGAAGGAACGTAATAATACACAACATAAACTCTATGACTGTGTAGATAATTTTTAAATGTACATAGATGACATCTTAGCATTCCCAATGCTCTTACATCTGCCATTGCTTGTTTGTTAATTCTGAAGACTAATGGTAGAAATACTGGAAGGTGATTTTTCAAGTGTTAGACAACGTCTGTCTGGGTCTAGTAACTGGGTTTCCAAAGTTCTGTGTAAGGATCACATGCTAAGTACTTGGCACATATCCATAATATTAAAACTACTGTTGATCGTAATGAGTGGTGACCAATGCAACAGCAATTGTCAGTAAAAACTGAATAGTGAGACACTTTGTATCTGATCTTATTGAGATGTCTGCCTTTTTTTCCTCATTCTTTCCTCTTATTTACATCTCCAGTTCTAGTTTGTAGATGTGAAAGGTACTTTGTGCTGCTTGCCTTAAAAATTAATAAATAATACTTTAAGTTGTACCTTGGCATTCCTTCCTAAATAATTGAACATCTTCTCTCAAAGCTCTCTTCTAGTTTGTTTAATAGTATGAAGAAATTCTGCAATGAATCCTTTCTGGAAAAGAGTTGTTGAGTTTGTTGATAGAGTGAATGTTGTTCTAAATAATTCTAGTAGTTAGGGGAGGGGAGTCTTTTCAGTGTTAAAGGGGAAGAAAATATCTGATTAATCTGGAAACCAGCTGAACATACTGCTTTGAAATCTCTGGAATCATTCATCAAATCAACATTAGTTTTTTGAAGGATTTTTAGTATGCTTATCAAAGCAGTAATTTGTGCTTTGTGAGGACATCTGGAGTACTAGCACTGGTCAGTCAAGCAGCTGAACATGTTCAACTACCAGAGTGATTGTGCAGTCTCCATTCTTGGAGGTTTTCCAGGCCGGACTGAATAAAACTTTGAGTGATGCAGTCTGACTCTGTAATTGACTCTCTTTTGAGTAGGTGAACTCCTGAGCCCTTGTAGTCCACATCATGCAGTGATCTGATGATTCTGCTATGTAAGTTCTGTTCTAGAAGTAAGTCAATTCAGTACCTGCATTCTATAGTCTCACTTGAATGTAATAGCATGAGGCACTTGGTTCAGCTCATCAACTTTGAGTAGGAGATCTCAGGTGAAACTGTTGTTTGCTTCCACCTGAGCAGCCTGGTTTGGAACAAGAGACTTAGAGATTTTTATATGGAAGTGATGGCTTTCACACTCTTATGGGATGAGGAATAGTCTTCCAGAAACTTCTATCCACAGAGCTGATTACATCTGTGCAACTGAGGCTAGGGAACCCATTTTTCTGTGTATGGATATACAGTGCATTCAGTATCATTCTTTAAGCACAGGAAGAGAGAGATTCTCAGCATACACAGACTCTTATGTGTCTCAGTTTAAATGAACGGTGAAAGCACCATCACTTGTGTAGACAAGCAGGGGGTCAAATAGGGCTTGACTGAAGAGCTTTTTAGCCACAAAAGTAAGGGAATGGACTGTCACATTAAAGCATTTCTACCTGCCACGTGCTTGATGCAAAAAGAAACATGACTACAAACAAAATGTTCTTACATTATACTGTCAGAAGTCTATTTTTTGCTACTCTTATTCTGACAGGATAACTTGTGGACTACTGTCAGTGGAGGAATTGAAGATAGGGGAAAGTTTGATCAAGCATAAGGTTATGTGCATTTTTCCATTATGGTTTAAGAAACACAAAAATGCCATACAAATCATGAAAGATGCTTTGGCAGGGGATTTCAAACCTTTGCAGCTGATCTGTATCTATTACTTAAAATCCTTTTGCCTTCTATATGTGAAAATACTTCTATTTGCAAAGCATATGAAGGTTAAAAAATTGTTAGTTTTTATCCATGCTAACACCAGGGGTTATTTACCTGTTTAGTGGTACATCTGGCCTTCTAGCTTGAAAGCAATGGAGTTACGATTCAGTATGTAAGGACTGGTCTGTGTTCTGAGAAAGGAAATAGTGTACTTGTCCATCAGACTGAGCAGATGTTGGTGGGGCATTGCTGTATTTTCTTTTTAGTTTCTTCTGGTTTGGATCAAGTGACAACATGTACAAGGCTACATGAACGGCCTCATAGTATTTTGTTGTTACACTGTGTGATTTCGACTGTTCTGAGCATGAAATCTTCCACGGGGTCAATAATGAACTTGCCACCTCACCTCTTGCATTACCAGCGAATGCAGTACCCTGTGTGTGATGTTGCTGGACCAAGTCTGATAGTATCTGTCTCTTATTGCCTCATTAGCTTGTGAGCATTAGAACAAGATAAAAATGCTCTAAAGCCTCTTATCTGCTGATTGTCATAACCTTCCAAGTGCCATTAGTTTAAGTTTGCAATCAAATGCTTCCCCTGCGTATAAGGAACACTGATTAAACCCAGGGCGTCCCCAGGGGCCATTACAGCTGAAGGAGAAGGGGGGGCTGCAGGCCCTGGCGGGCGGTCGGCCTGAGGGCCTGCACGTGGCTGCCCCAGCTGTTCCGCTTTGCCTAATGAATTGTTTTACAAGGAGGGGCTGGATATTGTCATCACAAGCTGCCTTCCCGAGGGACTGCAGCCAGCCTGATAATGACTAATGTTAGTGATAGTAATTGAAGTGTGATGGCTCTCCAGGGACCGGCACACACGTAGAACTGTCAGGCACTTGTGGCTGGTTCGGTCCTGTGAATACCCCTGAAATGCTTTTTAATTGCTTGACTTTCATAACTAGTTCCCATATATCTCCTGCGGAAATGTATGCTTTATGGGGGGAGGGAAAGGAATGGAGGACTCTGCTCTGATGTTCTCCCTTAGCACAGCGAGTTTATTGCTGTGATGTGCTGCTACTGAGAATGGCTGTGTTCTTCTTCTCCATTCTCAGTCTGAACCTGCTCTTTGTCTCTACACAGCTGAACTTAGTTTTCTTTAATGTCTAAGCCCCGTCTTCTGTAATACTGATCCTTCATGCATGGAAGTTTAGTTTGGCTATAATGAAACGTAGTGGGTTTTGTTTCAAAGATCAATGTGTCAAAATGATAGCTATTTGCATTTTGTTACGCACTGAAATCTGGATGTAAGATAGAAAAGCAATCTTGTAATAAGGTACTATATTTATCTGTGTCCTAGCAGAGATAGTTTAATGGCTATGAGCTTTTGAGGGGTTAGGACAGAGAGCCGACCAATCTACATGGCACAGAATGAAAACTTTCTGATTGTGTTCTCCTATAGGAATTAATTTTTGAATGTATCAGTGGGTTTGAGGTAAAATTACGAGCGCTGATCCAAAAGCAGTGTTTCTTATTCTATGATGTTGGCCCACGAGGTCAGAGGTGGATGTTGATGGTATGGGAATAGAGGCTGAATCTTCTTGCCAGTGTGGTCCTACACTACACATCCTTACCTCTAAATTGGAGAGCAGTGGATTTGAAGGTTGCACTACTAGGTGGATAAAGAATTGGGTCAGTTGCCGTAGCCAGAGGATTGTTGTCAGTGGTTCTGAGTCCAGGTGGAGGCCAGTCTTGAGAAATGTCATGAGATTTTGCAAGATCAAGTGCAGTTGTGTTGAGGCAATACCAAGTATGAATACAGACTAGCAATGAACTCCTTAAGAACAGGCCTGCCAAAAAGGACTTGGGGCTCCTGGTGGACGGAAAGCTGGACATAAGCCAGCAGTGTGCACTTGCAGCCCAGAATACCAGTGGTATCCTGGGCTGCATCAAAAGAGGGGTGACCAGCAGGGAGAGGGATGTGATTGTCTCTCTCTACTTTACCTTTATAAGGCTTAATCTGCAGTACTGTGTCTATGCCTGACGATATGGTGTCTGACATGGAAGTGTGGATGGAACAAAGGTGTGTCATCAAATTCCTGTATTTAGAAAAAGTTGCACCCGCTGGACATTTATTGACACTTACTGAATGTTTGTGGAGACCAAACAGTGAATGCGAGCTTAGTGGGTAGTGCATTTCAGCAATGGTGGCAGCAGGGTGAGAGAGAAACCATATTCTAGGTAGCCAGACAGATTTTCATGAGCACTGCGTGCAGGGTCTTGTTCATTGCTGGCAGAAATGCACAGCTAAGGATGCTGACTATGTTGAATGTTAGTGTTTTGTAGCTGAGGATTTGCTTTATCAAGCAGTGTTATTGTGCTCTTTGTATCTGTTGCAATTTCCATGTAAATAAATAGGAAGTATTACTTTTGGAGCATCCTATGTGCATGACAGGGAGAGCTGCAGGATAATAGCTTTTAGTTTTTCAGATTTATTTTTAAGAGCTGTGTTAGAGTTGCCAGATAAAGCTTGTTAGATCAGAAGGATGTTTTCTGCCAGAAATAGTGTAGGTCACAACAGGTCTCCTCTGTTTCAATGCTGGCTGAGACAAAGGAAGAATGAAATTCACATTGCTACAACTTGGGGAAGCTGTGAAGAGAGAATGGAATTATTCACAGGGCTGAATGACCAAAGAGGGAAGCTTGGAAATGACAGGGGGAAAGGGAGACCCTGCCTCTTTTTTGCAGTTTTTCTAGGAATGAAATAGGAAATTGAAAACGTTTTCTCCACTATAATTGTTAAGAAGTATGTATTTGCCTAATACATAGTAATTGCATAATAGTGAGATATCCTATCTGATAGCTGGGCTGTTGTTTACAGTAGACTATCTGTTGTGCATGCATGTGGCTGCTGGGTTAGTTATTGAGATATGAATCTGGCAGATCATATTTTCATGTTTTACTATAAAAGTTGGAATATTACTTCTGGGCAGTCTGATGAGTCTTGCAGAGTTTGTGCTGTCGTTCAGGAGGTGAGACAGTTCCCGTCTCTTTATTCTGTGTTTATGTATGTTAGGTTAAATATGAAGCTTTTAAGAAGACATTTTAGAAAAAGAAGTGGCAGATTATAATTGTGCCTGCAAGATATGAAGAGAAAGCAAATATGTTCACAGCAGTTCTTCTAAAGGAAAAAGATGGGTGAAAGTAGTTTGTTGGTGGTTTTTTTATGATAGGAGATCATGAGGCTATGCAGCAGGTCTATAGGGTCAGACAATAGGATAGTGATCTTCAGAGAGGGGAAGGAAATGAAACAAATATCTTGTTAAACAAAGAGTTTTAGTACCATCTGTTTTCAGAAGAACCATTTTAGCCCAAGTCAACATGAATAACCTTGGTAAATTCAGGACAAGTTAAGATAGGTTATACCAATTAATTCCAGCCACTGTATGGATTAAGCGTTGCCAATAGTCTTTTGTTTCTCTTGCTTGCCTGTTACTCTTCAGGTGTAGGTATCTCTGATTTCAGGTCTGAGGACAGTTTTCTGAAAAAGGCTCGGATTTCAAGACAGCATTTCTCTTTGATTTTTAGAACATCCTACAAAGGGCATTCTCAGAAGTACAGCCTGAACACATAGGGAGGAAGCTTTGAATTAATTTATTGTCAATTCCCTTGCATAAAAACTGTCTTCTAGGGGAAAGAAAAAGTCACCTCTGGCTAAAATGAATTAACAGTGGTGGAG